GGGGGGGGGGGGGGGCTAATATATGGACGATCTTTTGTGTTAGTAATAAACAAGTCAGACATAAACAAGTCAGTCATAAACAGGAAAATAAACAGTATTAATAACGGGCTTTGATTAACATAGTCGGCTATAAAGACAATGACAATGTTTATAAATATCGTTCTCTGCTTATATTAAAAGACAATGTCAATGAACATTGAATAATGTAGTGGGCTACTGGGCTTATATTCAGGGGACTTATATTTGGGGGGCTTATATTCGGGTGGGCTTATATTCGGGTGGGCTTATATTCGGGGGGGGGGCTTATATTTGGAATGAGGTGAGCATTAGTATATGTGGTGGACTTATATTCAGGGGGGGGGCTTATAGTCGGAGGTTTACGGTATATATTTATACATGATTTTACACTAACCCATCTGCAGTATCAACTGGTTCTCCCGATGATTGTAACTGTACAACAACACTGGCTTGCTCAAATAAACTCTGTAAAACAAAAACAAGAACATGTGTTTCCTGGTTTTCAATGTCAATATTTATACTACACTATACTTGTATGGTGTCATTTGAACCATACCGTTATAACTTCTTTCAGCAATGGAATAGAAGATTTCAGCTTTGTGACAGGGTCGTCAGGTTCCTTAGACTTGCTTGATTGTTGAGCATTTGATGAACTTGCTGGGGTTTGTGACGGATTGCTTGATGATGGGGTAGCCATGTTGAAATGATTTCAATATAAAAATACTCTTCCAGAAATTGATTTTAAAATATTTTAAATAGATTATCAACAATATAATGCAAGACAATTGTTCAAAATGTGAATGTATCAGGCCAGGAAAATGAATAAAAGTAAACAAACAAAAGAAAACAAAAATAAATAAACAAAAGTAAGAAACGCGGGATATCCACGCGTGGAACGGTGGAAGGCTCACGCAGTGTGTCCACTATACAGCTTTTAAGGAAAATGTCTATTTGTGAAAATTGGCAAAGTTGGCAAACTACCGTAAAAATTAGCGTGTTGCTTTGTAAATTGGGTAAAGCTAAAAGTAAAACTCTAAAGAAAGCAAACTGTTCGTTAGTCACAGTAAGTGTACAATCAAATGTACAATCAAGTCAAATGGATTTTGATTTCGAATTATTCAAACTTCAAATGCGAAATACAGTATGTGTCAATGTGGAAGCACATATGGCGGGAGATATTGAAAATAAACAATGGCTGAATGTTGTCATGGTGGAAAAATTTCTGCATTTTCTAGTCTTTCAAACGTTCAGTTAGCTTGTAATGAAGAATGGATAGCTGCTCCACATAAAGACAAGTCTTTTGCAGTATGGAAACATGGAAATTTAAACGCAAATGTAAGATGTGTTTTGAAATATTAAACCGTTCTTGCAGTGTATAAACAATGTTTTGTTTTTGGGCATTTAAATTATTAACTACCGGGCATTTAAACAGCATAAATTGATAGAACGATATAAATAATTTGTACAGTATAACTTTTATTCCTTGTATTATATAGCTTAAGTAAGTTTTAATTTTGTAAAATACCAGTTAGTTTAGATTTTGGAGTATCATTAATATATAAATTTAATATAACTTTACAGCCTGTAGTTTTCACTTGTCACAAGAAGAGTGTAACTGCAGTATGTTTTGGGAACAGAAATGAACAAATTTTGCTAGCAAGTGGTTCTGAAGACTGTGTTATTGTCTGGTTTTTGGAAAACAATTTTACTTTTGATGGTGAGTATTAACCCATTGAATGGTAGCACTGTCTCCTTGATGAGTAAAGTTGTCTGTTTCTCAGTTTCTGTAGTATGTTTTGTTTCTAGGAGAATTTTGCAATGAAGCAAGAAACATTACTGTTGCAAAAGACTTGGGTTATGTCCAACATATCAGTTTTAATAATTCTGATGAATTGATTAGTATATGTGTTGGTAACGAAGTCTGGGTTATAGAAATTGAGGTTGGTACTAGAGGTAGGCTGTGAAAACAACCGTCCGATATAGAAGTATGGTAGACAGGATGGCTGATTTTGTCAATACATCATACTCCTAATGAAAAAGAAAAAATCCTGACCTACGTGAAACAGATCAAAACACCCGACAATTTGATTACTAAGTTTGAAATTAGTTTAGTGGTCAATACAGAGAAACAGTTTGACATTCAAACACCACATTTTCTCTATATGGATAACTGTGGATATACAACTACCTGAAACTGGCATTGATTGTTCAAGGTTTCCTCTATTTAGCCTCTTTTTAGCTCCTCTTCTAATTAGACCCCAGTCGAAAAATGCCATTCTTCTAACGGTGTGTATGGTACTGCAGCCAATAATACACCCTGATGAACTTTTCTAAGCCCGGTGGAAAGTTATCTGCTATAGGTTAAAGTTTTTGTGTTAAATTTAAGACATGTGAATTGAAAACTGTGATTGATGGTCACCATGGCATTGTGAATGCTTCAAGATTTTGTCCAGCCCAGGATTTTTTACTGGTGACTGTCTCTGAAGATCGAACATTTAAGGTAGTTAAATAAGTGACTGTCTCAACTAGAGAACAGAGCAATTGGTGGCACAGCTGGTGGTTAGCTGTGAACTCGCCTTTTCCGTGTGCCTAGCTGCTTTTTACCTTTCTCACTGGGATTTGATTCCTGCAACATGCGTTAAAATTTAACCTTAGTTGTGTGCTTTTATTTTGACTACATGAAACAATGCAAATTCGTCCTGCACTGCATGTAAACACTGGATCGATAAGGGAGAAAAATTTGATAGAGCTACGTACATCATTCCGAAAAATTTACTGACTGACAGAGCTATGCAGTTTAAATAAAGTAAATTCTAGTTTAGTATACATGTATGAAAAACCTCTCAATAATTTCTCAATGTTGTTTTCTAACTTGTTTATGCTAGGTTTGTGATGTTCAACAGAAATCCATTTTACATCATTCTCCAATTATTTCTGGTAATTCCTTCGCAGACACATTTCTGACTTTTGAGATCGTACATGTCAGTGTGTATTACCCATATATAAGAAGGTTGCGTCTTTTTAATATTTTTGTCATGTGTATTGGTATTATTGAGTTTCTCACTCATTGGTGAGCGGATTTTCCAACAGGCTGTACGTTGCCCAATTGATAGGACTGATCTGAGGTACCTACGATTTAACGTCCTTATCCGAGAAGAGGCGAAAGTATTGTAAGACCTTGAGTAGATCGAGGTCCGAACAAGGATTGAACCCGGGTCTCTCAGCTTGGAAGGCAAGCATGGTGATCACAACACCACAAGTGCTAGGTGATGGCCGTTACAATTAGCCATTCCGAAGTTGATGAGAGGACTGGGGATGAGTGTTAAAAAGTGCCCATATTAAGAAATGAACCAAATCACTAAAAAGACCACCTCAAAATTAGTAAGTTTACAAAGTTTGAAGACAAACGTTTACATGATTGAATACCCTTCGAATAATAAGCTTTCGAAAATCGCGATATTTACTATGAAATGTACTGTAATTTTTTTTTTTGGGGGGGGGGATGCGCGTCCCAAAAACACTCTTTTAAATTAATCCATAATTTCACAATTTTTGAAAGCATATTATTCGAAAGGTACTCATGTAAACGTCTTCAAACTTTGTATACTTACTAATCTTGAGGTGGTCTTTTTATTGATTTGGTTCATTTCTTAATTTGGGCACTTTTTAACACTCGTCCCAAGTCCACTCATCAACTTCGGAATGGCTATAAATGGGTCGTATGACCCAGACTTGGAGCAGATCATAGACAAAGTATTTCTCGTTAAATTTCCACAGCATATCCGTTTCTCTCGCTTGCATTCCATTCAACTCGGAAAGAAGTCGTTCTTGGATCTTCAGATGGGATGGTAATTTCCTTTTAAATTTATTCAATTATACTTTGTTTTTCGTTTCCTTCCTCTTTCATTCCACAACACGACTGGAAATATTGTAGGGCTGCTCCCAATTAATCGATTAATCGATGATTTTTTTCAGGGATTTTCCCGAAAAATGCTGTTGCGAGAAATGCAACCTATAGGTCCACTGAGTGACAGGAGTCGAACATGCGGCTCTGCGATTCCGGAATCACAGAGCCGCAAATCGCTACTCTAAGATAAATTTGTTGTACGTGTCCTCGTTTTAACCGCATTACAGAGGAAGGAAGAACTTTTGCTGTGAGAACTATAAAGGATTGGAACAGAATTGACGTTAGCATTAGAAAGTCCTTAAGCTTGAGTAGCGTAAAGAAAAAACTTTTAAAAACATTTTTAGATTCTCAGGAATTACTATAGCATAGCTAAAATAGCTATTTAATTTTGAGACATTTTATATAAAACATTATATATTAATTGGCTATTTATGGTCACGTGATATTGAATAGAAAATTCCATTTCCCAAGAGTGCAATGGAATACGTTCCATTGCACTCTTTGCGAGTGCAATTGTAGTATACGTTTTATTCCATTGCACTCTTTATGTTTTTGATAAATCGCATCCGTCAAAATGCTTCTCATACGAATCTATTAGTCTATTTTGGTATTATATATAAAACAAATAATAAATGTTTATGAATGCAATGGTAAGAATATTTTCATTCGGTGAATGATGGAATGTTCCATTCAACTCGGCTGTCGCCTCGTTGAATGGAACATTCCATCTTTCACCTCATGAAAATATTCTTACCATAGCACTCATAAACATTCATTATTTGTATAAAATTATGTGACACTCTTCCTAATTAGCAATATCTTAGTTTCTACTATTTTAATTTTTTATCTAGGTAAATTTAGTATAAGCTTATAGAGGACCACGGAGTCATTTTTATTAATGTCATGTGCGTTATCCTCTTTAAATAAAGTCAAACTAAACTAAACTAAACTTGAATTATCCATCTACTCTGAAGAGTATTGTTTTTTATTCCATTTCAGGTGCGTATTTTTTCCTTGGATGATCGATACAACTGTCTTCGTACACTGGACTTAAACAAATACTTCGCTCAACACCTCGTCCTAGAGAACGAAGATAACGTCGAAAGTCAAGAAGAACCAGGGCAGGCCGTTATTGGGCTGTGTTATAACTGTCACAATAAAAACGAAGAAACACCGAAGGAGGATTACCACATTACAAGGTACACCATACCTACATACATACATACATACATACATACATACCTACATACATACACACACACAGGTTGGGGTTGGGTTGGGAGGGGGACTTTCCTCCCAACTCAAAAGGGGTCCCTCTGGCAGGAATGGAACTAGGAACCAGAGGGCCTATAGTTGAATTTTTTGCCAGGTAGGTCTAATGATAAATGTTTAAAATTCACACACGAAATTTCCATCTACAAAACCCATCCACAATTAGTTATATTGATGCCCAAAAATCTTGATATTTAAGCCCTGGGCAAACTAGGAAACATTGTTGTGGAAACATTTGTGATTCTCGATGTTTCTTCAAATATTTTCCTGTTTGCCCACCCGTGGAAACATTGTTGCGGAAACAAAATTTGCTTCCCTAGAAGCAAAAATGTTTTCTAGCGAATTCAGAAACATTTGATGTTTCTCTATGTTTCTCACTAATGTTTCCTAGTGTTTGCCCACTCTGGGAAATATGGCCAAACATTGGCAGGAAACAATGTTTCCGCAACAATTTTCCTAGTTTGCCCATGGCTCTAGTGTAGAAATGTTTTATAAATCTGCATTTCAGTGAATTGCTTGAAGATGCTGACAGTCTCCTGTGTGCTACAACTGGCGCACTGTTTGTCATAAATCTCAGTACTTGTCAACCAATGAAAATCATAGACTTTAGAGGTAAGCACGGGTAATAGACGTAGATTAACCGTGAGGTATGCAAATGATATACAGGAGTGTAGAGAGGTAGACAAGTAGCATCGTTTTTTTCCTCAACCTTGCATGATTTCTTTTCTAAAAACTCTCATGATATATCACCTCATCTTTTTATTAACTTCTTTCTCAGTGACACGAAAATCATGCAGTATGCTCCTAAGTAACATATATGAGCATGCCCGGCCTTCGTGCAAACTAAAACTTCCCCTGTACCTTTGCTTTCCATTCTTTTCTATCTTTAGAACCTATCCCTGTGGGCATCGACCATCAGCTGGGTGAATTTTCTCTTGTTTCACTTTGTGGTTCTTGTGAGTTTTATCAACAGCAAGAAAGGGTAAGAAGAACGGCAGGGGGGCGCATCCCCTCAAAAAAGTTTTCCCCCGCCCCACCTGAGAAGGTTGCACGCCCCTAATGCTCATTTGGATAAATGACAGTAGTGTGGTTGAAATAAAGATTTTGAACTACAGTAAGTATGACTGAAAACAAGGGTTTTGAACTAAAGAAAACCAAAAATCAATTCCTGGGGGCTTCGCCCCATTACCAACTGTGCCCCAGACTCCTGCTCCAGCTTATTCGGTGGCGCTCCATCCCCTCTTAAATTTTGGGCACCCCCCCCAAGAGGAAAATCTGAAAATCCGTCTATGGGAAGAAGGCTTGGAAGAGGACAAATAAAGTAATTATATAAATATGTGTGCCAGTGATTGATAGGAATGTAACCCTACCTGAACAAGGATTCTCCTTGTATTGTATAGATCTTCTCCAACGAGAGAAGTTGTATTTTCAGGTAGTTGCATCCCTACAATCCGAAGATTTTTAATTATAAATCCCATTTTATTTGCAGATCATCTGCGCCCTGGGAAGTCTTTTTGAAACTTCACTTCATATTCTTCATATATCACCAAATGCAGATGCACCTGCAAAATTGGTATGCCAACAAAAGTTGCTAAAATATATTCATAATTTCAAAATCGGTAACATGGATCAATGAGAAAATAATTTTTGATGGGGCGAGCTGATGCACATCAAGAAAAAGTACGCCATAACCAATGCATATCCAAATTTTAAAGATAAATGGCACTTTTGATAGTTATGATGGTATAAATTGCGGTAATATTATAGATAGCGGGAGTCAGATCTGAGCCTCCCTGTGTTATGGCCTCTCATCAATATAGTACTGCCACTGGGTTCCATTGTTTTCAAGGCCGGATTTTGAGGGGAGGTGTGGGGAGGTTCGCACCTCCCCTGAGATCGTTTTGCACCTCCCCTAAGCAGTAGCGTAGCCAGCCTGAAAATTTACTCCTGCTATGTAAATTTCAAAGCATTATCATTATTCATTTCTTTAGAAATTCATTGTTTTTACAGTCTATGAACACAGAAATATTTGCATAGCAGGAGTAAATAGTCGGGCTGGCTACGCCACTGCCCCTAAGAATTATTGCACCTCCCCTGAAAAGTAATACATCTCCCCTTGGGAAAATTTCAATGATAGATCAAAGTGAAAATTTGACATTTTGTGGTTGCTTAGGGTCTACAGTTTGTAAGAATTAAGGTTACAGAACACCTTTGAGTGTTAATTTTGCCTAAAATTTTTTTATTGGTTTCCATGAAAGCATTAGACTAGTTCTACTATCTGACCAAGTTTGAACGGAAAATGTTGAAAACTCGCAGAGTTATTTAATAAAATACATTTCGCTGCAATAAGAAAAACATTGAAAATGTAATATTCAAATTCAATTTTCTCCCGAAAAATTTTACGGTAATTACTGATTTTCAAACGAGTTATGCTCCCGCGGGTTTTAACCAATTTTTCTCAAATTTTCACATGGCATAGCTAAAGACGTCAGTTTCAAAATCGTGTTCGGCTTTTTTTTAATTTTGAATATTTTAAAAATAAAGAGCAATTTACTAAAACAATTCAGAAATATATTGCAGTCGTCAAAGAAATCGCCATATCAGCGGAATGACGAAATAAACAAAAATTTCCGAACACGATTTTTTAGAACAACTATTTTACTGTATAAAAATTATATTTTCATAAATATAACTTAAAACCAGCAGGAACATAACTCAAAAGCGTAACGGTACCGCGATTTAAGATTTTCCTGAATAATTCTTACATTATTTTATTGTTTGTTAGTTTTACAACTTTACCGTATTTTGCATGCACTGGAGAACATTTGGTGAAAATTTGATGAAAATCGGACTGATATTGAGCGCGCAGTAGCGATTTTCCGCAAAACGCCAAAAAAGGTGTCCTGTAACCTTAAGTTTTTCTGTAAAATTGAAATAGTGATAGCTGCACCTCCCCTAAATCTTTGTGTCAAGTATCCGTTTAATGCAATGTTTTGGAAAAACTTTGTAGTAATTGCAATGAAGGGCAAATTTTGATGAGTTGTACAGTCATAATTCATTAATACACTGATACATATGTACACTACATGCATACGTCACGTCGTTGACTTTGACCCGTTCTAAGCCCTAACTTTCCATGGGGGTCGTGAGCTAGACCGCTGCACCTCCCCTAAATTTTTTTCCATCTCCCCCACTGTTTCCACCAAAATCTGGCCTTGATTGTTTTAATCATTTAGACCAACAGAGAAGGCTGTTTTATGAACTCGGGAGCTGAAGACGTATCAGAAACATCAAAATTGGATACTCCGGAATTATCTGTTTTATCAAAGTATCTATAATTTAAACTTATCTATGCATGCTTTTTATAATTGTACATTAAGTGAATTCATTTCACACAATACTGAAGAACATGTAACGAAACCGTAACTGAGTTTTCACGATTTGACATGGAACGCATGAAAGCCTAAGAATTCAAGCACAGCTAACCACCGTACGAATTCTTGTGTACCTTTACGCAGTGGCGAGGCTAGCCATGGTAACTGGTCATGCTATTGCTAATAAACCTGCGTATAATGCAATTCATTAAACATTTTCATGACCTGTTGATGTGGCTAGCTTCGCCACTGCGTTTACAAGTTCGTTCGGAACGTAGTCTTAGTCAACAGTCAACAGTCAACAGTCAACAGTCAACACCAAACTAATTTTCTCTCTTAGAGCTCCTTTGTGTGAAAATTCTCCATTAAAGGCTGAGCTCGTTCCAAAAGTTCAAGAGAAAACAGCGAAACGAAATGTTAAAAGTACGCCAGCCTTATATATACGTTAATTTAGTGTAATGTCATCATGGGTTTTACTAAGCACTATCGTACTGTTATCTTTCCAGTATTTGAGAGATTCAGATTTGACTACCACTACCGCTACCATAAACACATTAACCAATCAGATGCGTTTGATATATTCGATTAACCAATCAGATGCGTGCTAAGCCAGTGAGAGGCAGTGGTAGTGGTAGTGGAAATCAAATCTGAATCTCTCGAAATCCGGTATTCTAAAAGGTCACTCACACTCAAAGGGTGGATGTTTAAATCTGAGCTTCCCTTGAGTGTCAGTGCTGTTTTTGAATAGCTGGAGAGTAGTCACATAGTAAGGTACAAGACTAACCCTCCAGCTATTGAAAAACAGCATTGGCACTCTTGGGGAAGCTCAGATTGAACCTCCACTCTTTGAGTGTGAGTGAGCTCTTAGAATACAGACGTAGGTCTATCTCGTCACATCAGAGGCCCTATCCTAACAGGGCCAAAACAACCCCATTCATTAAAAGGGGGCTGTCTCAGGGTCAAGACTTTGTCCCGAATTTTGTGGCCAAAATGGCCCTTCTGAAATTACTGTGTGCATTTGTAGAAGATCATATGACGACGAAGAAAAATAAAGATCCCATGGAAAATAAGCCTGTTACTTTTAAGACGAAAATCAAGTCGTCTGGTTATACTGCTACACCTAGGTAAATAGTCCTGGATTTTTATTTTAGTCCTGAAATACCCTTGAAAACCCTGGAATTTCAAAGTTATCCCTGGAAAACCTTGGAAAACTGAGCTGGGAATAGGATCATACCTAAACTATTTAACACTATCTTAAAAAGAAAGATTGAACAAAAGTTTCTTGCATTATATATAAATCTTATAAGTACGGCATTAAACACTCAAAAACCTGTCGACTTCTTAATAGGGAAATTCTTTTGTATATTTCAAATGCTCCTGGACAACCCCTGGATAAGGATCGATGAAAACAGTCCTGGAAAACCCTGGATTTTTTAAATTACGAAGGTGTACGAACCCTGTATAGTATTGCGGGAAACTTAGCATTTAAATAGGGATATATATAGGTGTCGTCTGATAGAGGCATCCATGGGATTGCCACTATTACCTATCTCATATTTGTCTCACTACCTTCTTAGAACTAAAATGTTCTCCCCGAAACTTAATCCTGCAAAGCAATCCAAGACCGCTCAATTTTCACCAAAACCACTTCCATCCAAAAAACTGTCATCAAGGTAATGTGCGTTTATTAATATTTGCATACAGTCCGTAATGATGCCAAGAAGTTTATGCAAGTTGCTATATTCTTTCCATTAGCGCTAAAGAAAGTCAGTCGCCAGAGTACAGTATACCGACAGAATTGAAAGAGAAGTTGTCCCTTTGTTCCGTACCTGTTGCTATCAATCAAATAAAATTTTCGGGTAAATAACTTTCTAACATATCTTTTACCCTTGGGCAGTGGAACTTATATACGAGTAAAAATCATTACGGACAAGTAGAAGTTACTTCTTCAAGTCAAACATGATATTTGAATTTATTGCGTTTAATGTTGAGATAAAATATTTGTGGGCAAACCTAAAGGATCCAAAGCTCCCGAAATCCCTTCTGGCTTGTCTCCTTCGAATTTTCATTAAATTTTGTCCAAGAAAAGGTTCAATTTGCCGCACTTAACGCGTATTCAAAATTGCTCGACTTCAAAATTCATTCCATGCAGCGAAGAACATTTGCAATTTGGGAATACTATTTAAATTTCGCTGAATTGTCACGAGGAGTTTCTCTGAAAACTAATTTCCACGCATACAAAATTTAACTCAAACAACTTCATTTTTACTGCACTGAAACTTTGGTGAGAAGATTGAGTTTCAAAACTCAATTTAAGATTGAGTTTTTGGGGCCGTTTAACGGCCCTAAAAAATCCCTGAAAAAAAACCTGCCATGGCGGTGATGGAGCGCTCGAGAAACCACGCACCCTAAAGCGAAGGACTCTATAGAAAGTCAACGTATACTCAACATGTATTAACTTGTTTTTTTCACCTTTCTCACACATGTTTTATAAATCAATTTGTCTATACGATAATAGGTAATGGCAAGAAACTGGCATGTGCTTTGGCTAACCATACTGCGCATGTCTTGGACATACCACAAACCAGTAAACAACGTGTATACTCAGGTAGATATGTTTTAGTTACATTCATGTGTTTTAGTTTGAACGTGCAAGCAAACAGATGATGCTGATGTTTCCATTTTGTGTATTAGCACCCAAACACAACGTCACTAAAAATATACTGTATGGTGAAGAGTCTACCGTATCTCTCATAACTGTGTGACAATTTCAGTTTAATTTTGATATTAATATAAATAGCATTGAGATATGATGTAATGCGCAATGTGTTCAAAAAAATAGTTGATCACGATCCCTGAACTGAAACTAAGTACTATTTAAAACACGAGTAGGAGTGTTTTATCAGATATAAAACGCGAGGCGCAGCCGAGCGTTTATGTCTGATAAAACACGACAACGAGTGTTTTGAATAGCTTAAAATACTATACTATAAAAGCATACTAATTAGGATGAACAATTATATAATCATACTAATTAGGATGAACAATTATATAAAGAGTATTAATGAACACTGATGAGTTTTATCAGATATAAATATATATGGCTGACATGATTTGCCACAAAATTATGAATTATTAATGAGTACTTTAACTACATAGACAAAATTCAATTGGAATATCAAAGTAATTTTCCCCTTTTAGAAGGTTCGTTTTTCAATCACCGTTATACAAAACAATATTTTTATATTCTTGTTCAATCCAGGTCATAACGGTGCTGTGCAGTCAGTAGACTTCAGTCACGATGGTCAATATTTACTGACCAGTTCTAAAGACAATACAGCGTGTTTGTGGATAACTGGCAGCTCTGAACCTGTACTTGCTTTCAAGTACCAAAATCAAGCAGCTAGTACATCTTCCAAGGTTGGTATGATATACCGTAGAGTTTCTCCAAGTACTCCGGTTTCCTCCTGCATTAACAGCAGACCAATGCGAGATGGCCTATATTAACACAGGCATCTCTCCAATATAGCCATCTCTCTAATACAGACACCCACTTCTCTAATACAGACATCTCTCTAACGCAGACATCTCTCTAATACAGACATCTCTCTAATTCAGACACCTCTCTAACGCAGACATCTCTCTAACACAGACATCTCTCTAATACAGACACCTCTCTAATACAGACTTCTCTCTAATACAGACTTCTCTCTAATACAGACATCTCTCTAATACAGACATCTCTCTAATACAGACATCTCTCTAATTCAGACACCTCTCTAATTCAGACACCTCTTTAATACAGACTTCTCTCTAATACAGACTTCTCTCTAATACAGACTTCTCTCTATTCTAATACAGACATCTCTCTAATTCAGACACCTCTCTAATACGGGCATATCTCTAATTCAGGCACCTCTCTAATACAGACATCTCTAATACAGGCATGTCTCTAATACAGACACATCTCTAATACCACAGCTAATACTGATATCTCTCTAGTACAGAAACCTATCTGACACAGACATCACTCTTTACCATCGTAATGTGCATTAGATAGGTTCGACAAATGAAAAGTGATTGTAGTGTTTAGTTTCACATATTAAACTCTGTCCTTCAGGATAATCCAAGTTTTGCAAAAGGAATTAGTGACGCATTGTTTTACTATGTGGATAAATTCATCCTCCTCAGTTCTGGAAATTCCCTATTTTTGTATAAATATTATCTGGATTTTACAAAAGATGATCTCAAAAGGTGAGAGAGAATTGACGTAGTTCTTTCTCTATCATTAGTAGTCTAGAGTATAAATATAAGCTGCCCTGGTGTATGTCTAATCTACCTGGAAGAAATATAATTCGTTGGCAGAATTAGTAAAACTCATTGTAGCGTCTTCACCAGGGGAACTATACACTCAACAGATGACGTCATCTGTCAGCAAGGTTGAGATCAGTGGTTGAGATACTCTTGATGGCTACCGTCATCTCTATTCAAAGCATGCTAATTCATGCCAAAGCATGCTAATTCATGCGATCGTATGATTATGCATTTTTGGTTATAATATAGATATCAAAGTAAAAGTCATTACAAGCTCGTTACATCTTTGCCTCTTGAAAAAGCACAGAGTGTAACAAGTTTTACATGTATCAATGGCTTTTACTCTTGTATCCTTTTGCTAATTTTTACGCTGTGATTAGCACTTGCCATGGTGATTGTTATTTGAAACATCCAGGATAGATAATTATAAGAGCCTCTCCTCGAAATATTGGACTCTATGAGTCTACGTTGGTCTCTTTATGGAATATTTATTCGGTGATTAATTGCAAGCATTAACCTCAAGATATTTTGAAATTCCAAATTACTTAACATATCCACTAAACAATTTTTCCTTGATAACTACTGCAAGATATTGTAATATGTGCAGGATCAGACAGATCTTTGGAAGTTTTTGATATGAATGTTAATCGTAGTCTGAGGACACTTGAAGATGTTCATACGAGAAATGTGCACTGTGTAAAAATTAATCAGGTAACATGAAGGCTCCAGTGTTTAGAACAGTTATCAAGCAGTATGGTGTACATAGATCGGTCTTCCTTTTTACCCATCTATAGTTCACGAAGTAGCTTAGGGTCCGCTGCTTGGATTCTTGACTTCCATCCTTTTCAATCTCTTTTCATGTTCGCCATCAGTTCTTTGATGTCGAGTTTCTGCTTGTTTTTTAAGGTAGTAATATAACCACTCAGCACAGCATTTTCTCCTAATTATACCTTTTATCATCTCAGCCTTGCTTCCCTCACCTCCTCTGCAGTGTCTACCACCTCTCATCTCATTCTGATCTCTTCATTCCATAATGTATCTGACCAGCTCTTCATCATCTCTTCTTATTACATGTCCATACCATCTCAACCTTGTTTCCCTCACCTTCTCTGCAATGTCTACCCCTCATTCTAACCTCTTCATTCTATAATGTCTCTGAACGGCTCTCTTTCGTCTCATCTTACGTGTTAATACCATCCCAGCCTTGCTTCCCTCACCTTTTCTGCAATGCGTACCACTTACATCTTATTCTGATCTCTTGATTCTATAATATCTCTGAACGGCTCTCCTTCATCTCTTCTTATTACATGTCCATACCATCTCAACCTTGCTTCCCTCACCTTTTCTGCAATGCGTACCACTTACATCTTATTCTGATCTCTTGATTCTATAATATCTCTGAACGGCTCCCCTTCATCTCTTCTTATTACTTGTCCATACCATCGCAGCTTCGTTTTCCTCACCTTCTCTGCAATGTCTACCACTCCACATCTTCTGATCTCTTCATTCTCTGAACGGCTCTCCTTCATCTCTTCTTATTTCCCGTTCGTACAATCTCACTCTTGTTTCCCTCACTTTCTCTGCAATATCCGATCTACCACCCCACGTCATCTGATCTGTGAATGTGTCCAGCACCAATTCTTCACTAGACGTTTAATCTGTTTTTATTCAGGGTTCAAAGACGTTTTCCCTCCCAGCTCAAAGTTATGATCTATTTTTAACTGCAGCCATCGCAGATGGCGTCAAAATTTGGGACTTGCGCAGCACGAGGTAAACATTGGTACAGTAGTTACTTTATGTGCCGTTCACCTCTGTTTGCTTGTGGGCCCCAGGGCAGGAAAAAATAATTCTCTTCCCGGGAGTACAACCTGGAGACACAAATTTCCTGCAGACCAACGGAGTGTTTTTGTGCTAAATCTGCATATGCATAAACCTATAGTGTTCTTGCTGACCATGGTTTTAAGTTCAAGGAATAATGCCTGTCAACCATATGTTGTTGCGTCCATAGTGGGACATGGGTGTTAAGGTTTCCTTCAAATTTTCAACAGCAAATCGTCATTCAAACGAATTTCCTGCAGCTGTTTAACATTTCCTGCGAGCAGTGCTCGCGTGCTCGCCTATTTTTTCCACCTCTGTTTGGTTGTGGCACAGTGGTTGGTGCATGGCATATGTGCCTTTACTTCTGTGTACGGCCTTCCATTCCGATCCTGCAATATGCAGTTTCTGATCATAATTTCTATAATGTCAAGAGTGTAATTAAACCCGAAGTGAGGCAGCTATTTAAGCAAACGACGTTTTTGTCAACACCGACGTCACCCGAAAATTGGTATAACTAATGTTGGCCACTTTTTGCATCTCAGCGCTCGTGTAAGGAAGCAAAAAACTTTAAAAATCTTATGTTTTGTCATTCGTGTTGAAGATTACCACAAACTGACACAAACACAATTTTTAATCCAGTCCCCGCTCGGCAAAAGCGTCGTTTGTTAAGCTCGCTATTAAACAGCTAACGACTTCATTTGCAAATAGGAAATCTTCGGATCAATCACAAAAGAAGCTCATTTATATCTTGTAGATGTGTAAGGAAATACGAAGGTCATGTGAATCGTTCTCATCCAGTCGGTGTAGCTTGGAGTCCCTGTGCTAAATATTTTGCTGTTGGCTCTGAAGATAAATCGGTGAGTTTGAAGTCAACAGGATTGCATACATAGGGCAAATTTTCTTTGAAGGTACTGTATAAGTTTGTACGAGGGGGGGGGGGGAGTGTTAGTTAGGTTAGTGCTGGTGCATGTGCCATTTGCTGTGATTTTAGGTGCGATTTCTTCTCCTGGTGTATGTGAACGAGTGGATGATTTAGGAATGTTTAGATGAGGGTACATAAAACTCAGAGCATTCATAACTTATTTACTCGTTCACATCCATCAGAAGAAGAAAATCGCAACAAAAATTGCAAGTGTAAACGGGCTTTAAGAAGAATGCTTCGACTTTTTCTTTTCCAAACCGAATTCAGCCTGGAAAGAATACAAAAGATGGACGTCTGGTGAGAACAGCGTTCAACTGATAGAGCTGGATAGCGGCTGTTTTCTCATCATGCATTTACATAGGCGTACGAGACAGGAGGGGGCAGTTGCCCTTTAGTAAATCACGGAAATTCAGGCAGATGTATGACAAAATATGTTAAATTCAGTACCATCCTTCATAAAAATTCTGGCAAACTTTTAACTGCCCCCCCCCCCCGGAAAGATCAGACCCATACGCCAATGTGCATGTATTATATGTTTAACACCTCTCTTTGTTGTTTCCAGACGTATATTTATGACCTACGACACTCTAATCCATGTGAACGTATCTCAAGACATAGTGATGTTGTATTCGATGTCGTGTTTCATCCAAACACTTCACAGGTAAATATACAAAAGTAACAAGGAGAATAGCTTTGACGGGTGAGGCCGGTGCTTTCCTTTGAATGCTTAGAGATTTTATCGTCTGAACTGGATTATTTTTCTCTGTGATTTCAGTTGGTGACAGCTACACTTGATGGAAAACTATTTTTCTATTCAGACAAGATCTAGTGCTCAACAATGTTAATGTTCGAATCTGATAAAAGGAAAAAGGTAAAGGGCCAAATGTGCGGGGGGCGATGTCATATCTGTACGATTTTACAGATATGAAAAAATTATAGGAAGCATACGTCCAATAACAAATACCACAGAATCATGTGCGTATATATTATATAAGCGCCCTGCACAGAACATTGTAGCTTAGAGCGATAGAAAATGTCTTGACAAAAACGTGAGGCAATGACGTAGTATTGCCTCATACGTGACATTTATAAATAATTATGTCATATATATAGTAATTATATTAGCTGATTGATTAATATACCCTTCCAGACAGTACGTGACTTTGGCCAAAGAGCCTCGTTTTCATGTATGTGACGTTAGAGACCTTACGATTTTAGGACGGCAACGGCCAAAACAAACTCCTTCAAATAAATGGTAGTCGATAGTTCGTCGTATATTATCAATCGTATGAATTTAATACAGTCTTAGAAGTTGAAGAGATGGGTTTTATGGTTGGGAAGAGTTCTGCTAAACCCAGTTTGAAGTTGCACTTGTTGTGGCTTGGAATGCAGCCGTTGTATCAACACGTGTTGTATCAGCCGTTGTATCAAAAATCTGTGATTTGGCGTTGTAAACAGAGCGAGGACAATGTCTAAATTATTCATTTATTGTAATTACTCAATTCTTTTCAATGATCTATTGTATTGGTAGCCGTTGCCGTCCTAAAATCGTAAGGTCTCTATTAGTTTTAAAACCTAACGTCTCAATCACGAAAACGAGGCACTATTGCGAAGGTGACATACTTTTCGGAAGCGTGTATTGTTGCGGAACTGATGGAACATTATGCCCGTTTTCCACCAGGGGAAGCGACTTTTTCCTTTGTCGACATCGCTTATCACGTCAGCAAAAACGTTGACGACAAGGGAAAATGTCGCTTCGTGCCTTCGTCCGAATAAATTCGCGTGGTGGAAAATAGGCTTATTGCATTGATCGATCCACACAGGCCCATAGACCACAGAATGCCGCGGTTGAATTGAATACTCATAAGAAATGCTTACCTGTAATTTCGGTTGCCATTTTCCCGCGCGTTCAATCTTAGTCCGGGAAACAATAAAACGAAGGAAAATAGAGGGATTGCTCGCTGTCTATAATTTCGGCGACTGCAAGAAGTTTGAATGTCGTCGGAGATTCGGACTTGTTGCAGCAGCCGAAATCCCAGGTAAACATTTCTTATGAGTATAGAATTCAATACAATCGTGAATTGTCTGTGCCAGTGTAGGTAGTGCCAATAATACGAACAAGCTTTCGTTGGTAGGAATGCAACTACCTGAAAATATAAGGAGAACTTTTTCGAGCGAAGGCCCTTCCCCGTTACTGAAGGCCATTGAACTATAAATAAACTGGAAGGCTAACTCAGGGGGGGGAAATTGAAGCCAGTGTATTTTAGTTTTTCTGAGTTATGAGCAGACATACTCAACACTGAACGTTGGGCTATATATCAAATTGAAGCTATTGAAAAACGCTATTTGGTGTAGAAATTTCAAGACTTTAGCTAAAAGGGAAATATTGAAAAACTACAAACATAATTACCGATAATTTGCAGTTTTGCAGTTGTTTTTGTATTTCTTAAATATTTTTCTTTTCGCTGAAGTCTTGAAATTTCCACACCGAATAGCAATTTTCAATAGCTTCAATTTGATATATAGCCCGACGTTTGGGGTCAAGTATTTCTGCTCATAACTCAGAAAAACTATTTTGGCTTCATCAAATCATAGGCCTTCATCATAGCAGTTAGCCTTCCGTTTATTTATAGTTCAATGCTGAAGGCCGTTTTCCACTAGGCGGAATTTTCCGCGCGGAGCGGAATTTCTCTTTGTCTTTTCCAATTAGTTCCAGCCGAGAAATCACAAGACAGAAAAATTCCGCTCCGCGCGGAAAATTCCGCTTAGCGGAAAACGGCCTTCACTTCCTGGCGAAGAGCCTCGAAACGTCGAAGTTCTCCTTGTATTTTTCAGGTAGTTGCCGATCCCTACCAAACCGAAGTTTTCACAGAATTCAACACTACAAATGTTTGGTGTCTTTATTAAAAAAGTTATTATAATAAAAATAATACTCTGTGCATAGACACGTCTTGACCAGGGCGTGTCGTTCGTTTGCGTAACTTACTCGAAAATCGCTTTTCAATCGGACAATGACCTGTCAAACATTTACGCGGCTATGAGTGGGGAAGGCTAGCGAAAACGTCACAACGCTCTTGGCTCTTCCGTCAGGAAATAGTATTTTTAGCGATCTAGGTAGTGGCGTAGTGCCAATGGACCGATTTGCATAACTGACTCAATTTTGATCTAAACAAGTCCAGACAAAAATTTCATCACAGCTTGAAAGAGCATCACAAAATTAGTAATATTCCAAAGTTTCGTTGCGAAATGTTGTAAAATGCGGATAATATAGCCTTGCGAAGTTTGCCGTTTTTCAGTCATTTTGTATTACGCATGGGAAATTGACAGCCCAATCGGGTGTTGGGGCATCAATTTCCCGTTTGTAATACAAAATGACTGAAAATTGCAAACTTCACAAGGCTATATTATCCGCATTTTACAACATTTCGCAACGAAACTTTGGAATATTACTAATTTTGTGATGCTCTTTCAAGCTGTGATGAAATTTTTGTCTAGATCAAAATTTAGTCTATAATGCAAATGGTCCATAATGAAAGCTTCGGATTGATGGAGATGCGATTACCTGGGAAAATACATGGAGAACTTCGACGTTTTGAGCGAAGTCCCTTTATGGGAAAGTTAGTGGGCCTTTGTTCGAAGCGTCGAAGTTCTCCTTGTATTTTTCAGGTCGTTGAATCTCTCTCAATCACTCAATCCATTCTGTCCGAAGATATGATGGTCTGGTCTGGAAGCCCGGCAAATTTCAAAGGTACAACATAGAAGACCTTTGTTTGATGTTGAACTGTACTTCGCCGTGCACAAATCCTTTGTCTCAACTTCATTAAATATTATTCATCGTGGTTGAACATTTCATCTCAGCTATCCCTATTGGACGATTACTTCATTATACGAAAATACAATGAGCTAATCACCGTTCCCGGCAATGTGTCCGGCACAAATTAACATAAACTCAGACAAAAACATATTAATACAATGACTTCAGTTTAGTTTCCAGACCGTCATATTTTGATAGACTGTGCTCATTTCGAAGTTTCCTTATTTTCTGTCTTTGAAAAAGCTAGGCATGCTATCATGCTTCTTGCGGTCAAATAGTGTTTATGTTTACGTAAATGATCTCGTATTAAAATACGTTGCGTGATTGAGGCTACAATATCATGTAACGCTTACGCAAATCAACTCACAACTGTGATTTAATTGCTTTGATAACCCTCGAAATAATTCACCAAATAGAGGTTATTTCTCATTAAAAATAACTTGTATCTACTTAGACAAACTTTAAACAACAAACAACAGTCGTAAACGCTTCGAATTCTTCAAAAAATTGTCATTTTATTGTGAAATTTTACGAATTCTTTACCTTGGCCTGTTATGGGTGTGCGACCATTCTCTTCCGTCTTTTCAAATGACGTCACATTGCGGGCGGATGTTCGTCAAGCATACATGTCAGCGAAAAGCTGCGTTTTGTTGCCGAAAAACACAACTTTACTGAACGAAAATGTACATTTACAGAGCACCTTGTTTGTATTTCACCTCCGTGTGGCAATTATAAGGGGTTATATGACTTTATTTGTATTTTTAATAGTGTTTATTGTGAAATATTTTAAGTTTATTGACTCATAATTTGACTGATTACATATTCAGTCATGTGACCTGTCACGGAAGCCCAGCTTGGGGATTGAACTTGAACATTTGAACTCGAGTGCGGTTGCCAGTTTCTTGCCTCCCTAATAGTAATCCATCGATCTACGTTTTAATCCTCAAAATACCATTCTCTGGTGTACTCCGAAGGAACGAACAAGCATTTCGAGGCTACAAAGTGGTCACTTGGTTCAATTTTGCCGCCATTTGAAACGGTATGTGTATAAAACGAACATTTATTGTCGCGCTCGAATTTTGAATGAATGGACTTTGTTACTTTATACCAAATTTAAACAGTTGATATTTGTTGATAATCGGCCGTGTTAATGTCAAGTAATCATACACACTTGGTATTTTAATGTTTGTTGCAATATTCATGTGAGGTTTTATTCGTTTAGATCGGTGATTCTGGGCAAGATTCAATGATCGATTTAAAAGAGAAACCACGACGATGCTCAAAACGGAAATTCGAAGAAAATGGCCGTGTTCAACCGAAAGAAACTTTATTGGATATGTCAGTATCGAAGCTAGCTAAAGCTCAAACGAGACTCAATCTTGAACCCTCATTAAGAAAGACTGTAATGATAGTAAATACGATACGAAAACTTGAGCAAGAGATCGAAATTGGTCGCACTAAAACGCTGAACGAGGCAAATTCTTTTAGCCATTGTTTGGGAAGGACAAATAACTATCCGGACACGAGGCCGGACGATTCTACGGTTTACCCTTTAGTGGATACACAGAACTCTACAGAAAGTACTCAGAAAAGCATGGATTCGCCCTTAGATACAAGGGACGGATCGTTTGTTTGCGAAAACAATTCAGAAACATTGAGTAACAGGTGCCCAAGTAGCACTAACATTAGCATTGCGAAATCCTGCCCAAGTGATGCCACTTTTATTGATCTAGCACAATCGACCGAAATGAAATTTAAAAACAGATTTGCGGATTCATCAAGTTCTATCACGTCTATGGAAGTTAATTCTGGCGCTTGCGAGATAAATTTCGCTGAAGTGGACATTTCTTTGTATGATTTTGATACAAGCGTGGCATGGTCAGAAGGGGGTCTACAAATACCATGTGGTGATGATAGTGATAATTTCATGTACAAACCATCAACATTATCAACATTTACTAAACGGTGTAGTGATGATTTCAAACTTGGTAAATCTACAGAAAACACATTTGCAGATGATCTCGATCAAATTATGCAAGTGCTGGTCGGCATTTGATCGTATTATATTGACCGTGACAATTTGATGGTTTTAATCTTGCGATCAAGGGTGACTGTGTAACTGCTTGAATGTACATATTTATACTTTTAGTGTGAGACCGAGTCATTTTATAGTTTGTCTACAGTGTTTATGAGGTTTTTAGTAACACATTTTTGTAGGTTTTGTAGGTTTTGTAATTACATGAAGGTTGGATGTAAATAACTTATAAAAAGAGTAAATTTATTAAAAATATTCAAAACCCATACAAGAGTCTCTACATTATGATTTATTACTGTATTGGGGCCAGTTGTTCAAAGCTGGATTGGCAGCAACCCTCAGTGAAAATTTAATCTGCATGTATTTGTGCATGTCTGTTTATTTCAAAACTTCAGAGAAGAAAACTCCTATTGATCCACACAATATTTATGATTTCCAAATTTATCAGTAAAGTAGCGTTAGGAAGTTTACTTTGAATTTTAGGTTAACCTGGGGTTCAGCTAACCGGCCCCTGAGTAATATTTAGTACAACTGGTTAGAATATGAATAGAATTCTCTCTCTGCATTGGGCAACCTCGTACCCAGGGCTTCTGTGCTTATTGCTCTCAGAAGCACAGAATCCCTGGGTACGAGGTAGTCGAGGTTGGGCAGTGCTCACAGGCGACCCATTGTTGGGGGTGGAGATGCCTTTTTGAGTTGATATTTTCCATCACTTTACTTGAAGCTTGCAGCTGCTACTAAACATGAAGTAGGGTTGCAGAACATATGAACTGAAGAAGGGAGTGGTGTTGTGGTCACCATGCTTGCCTTTCAATCTGGGAGACCCAGGTTCAATACTTGGTCAGACCTTGAGTCTTAAAATAATTGAGGAGAAAGAGAGCTACATTGACATTAGTTAGACTTTTGTGTATTGTCGGATAAGGATGTTAATCGTAGGTACCTTGGATCCCCGGGTAACTTGAGAACGAGGTTGTCAATTGGGCAGTAGCCTGTTGTGAAATCTGCTCAGCAAAGAGTGAGAATCTCAATAAACTCGTAAAATGAGATCTAGAGCATACTTACACTCTAGTATTACAGTAACCCATTAAGTTGCATTGCAGCATAATGTGCCCTCCTTCTTTTACTCTATCTAATACCAGGTGATTTTACTCATCAAGAAGAAAAGCCACAAATTACCCTTCACCATAGGTGTAAGGTGTGTTTCATGATCAGCCATGTGACCCTCCGCCCTGGCCAGAGGTGCCCTTGGGAAGCCTTCAACTCGACCAGGTTGAGCTGCATCCTTCTTAATTCAGCTAGCTTCAGCTGCAAGTTAGGATGATTAGCACATACCGACATACCCACTTACTCAATATAATATGGCTAAATAAGAACTTTCAAAAGGCATATCACTCCCTGAGACAAAAATTGAGAAGAGCTGCTGCATTTGAAGCTCTTGTAGGTCGCTGTTCATATAAAACTATATGTCACAAACTCCCAAGAAAAGTGTTTCCACAGTGCTTCACAGCGCTATCAAATTTAAATCTCGCTGTCCAGCTCCTGAATAATGCTCTGGGTAAGGGGCAGGACCTCACTCAATTTTCCAGCTATCTTCCATCCGATTGAATTGAAAAGTTAGGGACCGGTCATTATTTATGGTGGGGGCTGGCACCGAAGAGAAATGTTTTTCGTGGCAAACATTTTGCTGACCCAACCATTAAAAAGTCAAAAATTTGATTACCCAACCTCAAATATCAAATAACCCTGGCCAAAAACTTTACAAAAGGTTACCATTCAGTTGTCACATATGTCCTTTACCATTTCTGTGACACGAGTTTGATAACGGATTGCGAAATTTTCTGCATGCAGTCTAAAATTTCATGTTGTCTGCACAGTCATGTACTTTCTTTGGAGATACCATTTGTCTCCTAACAAATCGGAAAATGATCAAGACAGTGACTCTGATTGATTCACATATTGTATTGACATATGACTATAACTTTTTATTACCCAACCCTTGAGTTGTTTTGTTTTTCATTTACTCAATGTAAAAGTTACATACTCAAAATTTTGTTCACCAAACCCTTTTCTCTTCGGTGCCACCCGCCATAAATAATGACCGGTCCCTTAGAAATAAATTAATTAAGGAACAATTTACGTTGAAGTTTCATAAATGATGGCGCTTGATTGGTTAACTGTAATCATGACTGCAACAAACATGGTATGCTATTGGTAGATCAATGCTACCTTCTTGAGCCGTGATTGGCTATTGGTGTTTCATTCCTACAATATGCAGTTGTTGGGACGCGCACATTATGCCGGAATTTCTTTTAGAACAATAGGGGGATTTTTTGAAACCGGGAATAATAGGCGCGAGAGGGAATAATAGGGAAACGTTTCGGTATGACGTCATCGTGCCAAGGTAAATGCCGTAATAAGCATATGCGCCATCGCCCAGCGACGAGGTGTGTACGTAGAACATTCGAATCCATTGCGACTAATTTGCCCGCGCGGGCGGAGCGGGCTTTGAAAATCTGCTCACGCGGGCGTGACGGGCGTCAAAAAACAATGAACGCTTCGCCCGCGCGGGCAAAGCGGACGTTAATGGCAAACGGCTTTATGCATTATTTGTTTCTTAAATCCATGAATGCAAATTTCAAATAAAATTGAAAATCTCGACGAAATTTCCAGCTCCACATCCATTATATAAATAAAGTTCTTATTTTCTCCTGGTCTTGGTTCGACTTGATGTAACTGAAATAATTTTGGGAATAATAGGGGGAAAGTTTAAGAATAATAGGATAAAGTCAAGGGAATTAAGGAATAGAAAAATGGGCAAATTTTCGAGCATAATGTGCGTGTGCCTATGCAGTTGTCCGGATTAAAATTTGCTTCTTCGGCATGTGAGAAGAATTCTTCTAGTTAGACTCAGTACCCATTGGCAACTTGCATGTTAGACTAAATTTTAATCTAAGTAAAGAGAAGGGAATCAAACACCACAGCTAAAAAGAACATGATGAAATTAGTAAAATTGCAAAATTTGGTTGCGAAATGTTGTAAAGCTTGGAAAATATAGCCTTGCAAAGTTTGCAAATTCTGTATATGTTTGTATTACGTGTGGAAATTGTTACCATTTTCAGCTCAAAAATGGTAACAATTTCCGCACGTAATACAAACTTATACAAAATATGCAAACTTCGCAAGGCTATATTTTCCGTATTTTACAATATTTCGTACCCAAATTTTGCAATTTTACTAATTTTAATACGTTCTTTACGGGAATTTACTTTTTTTTTTGCCTAGATCAAAAATTAATCTAACATGCAAGTTGTCTATATTACCACAGGTTTTTCTGGTTTCCTCTATAGTCAAGTCCCATTAATGACATTAATTAAGTGGATTTAGGCACAGTTACGCGCAATATTCTCAGGCATAATGCTTGACCATTACCCAGACAACTTCAGAACCTCGTCTATAGTTTACGTAATAAACGCAAGCCCACACCACGCGAAAAAGGCCTGGAACGATGTTGTGAAGTTATCTTGGGAAATCTATTTCGTTATCGTTCCATGTTTCGTGCACCAATATAGGTTTGGGTCAGGTTAGGGGTTAGGTATTAGGGTTAGGTTTAAGGTTAGGGTGTATATATATATGTGTATGGAGGTATTCAGTTAACTTTTCAGTACACTATATAATATCCATTACATAATGTTTACTATATTGGTGCGCGAAACATGGAACGATTTATACCTATATTTCATTCTTAGTGAAATTTATATTCAATCAGCGATATTCCAGAAATAAATTAAAACACATCTAGATTGACGTGTTTATATTATACACAATTTATTTATATTTACTACGTATGTAATACATATACAAATACGGAACACAAATAATGCACTTATCAGTATGTAAATATATACCATAATATATCTAATATAATAATTACAATAAATCTAACAACACGAATAATTTATGCGTCTACTCTTATTTAATAACTTACTTGCAACAAAATAAGTTATATCGTAAATAAATGTTTACACTTTGTTTAGACATTACTATATTTCAATATGGCATATGAGGCCGGCCTGTCCCGGGATGATTCGTTTAATAAAGTTCTTACCACGGCTTTGATAAACATCCAAAATGACATTTTAAAGTTGAATTAGCTTAGTTTGATTCCAGTAAAGCCGGTTACAGACGAGCAAGTTTTCTATGACAACTGACAAGTTTTCATGTGACAAGTTTTATTTATATTGGCATTATTGCGTCTGTACGCGCAACTTTAACATTTTTTTCTATGACTATGACAAGTGCACTTGTTCAAAAGCTAGCATGCTAGCTTTTGAACAAGTGCACTTGTCATAGAAAAAATTGTCAGAGTACAAATTTTGTTCGTCTGTATGGGTCAACAAAGAAAACTTGTCAAAATAATCTGAGCATTATTTGCCAAATTTGGTGTGATTGGCCAGCTGGCTACTAATAAATTGTCAAAGTAAACTTGTTGACACGTTCACACCAGTAAATAAAACTTGTCATATGAAAATTTGTCATATAAAATTTGTTGCATACACACACGTGCACTTGGCAAATAAAACTTGTCACATAAAAACTTGTCATAGAAAACTTGCTTGTCTGTAACCGGCTTAAAAGTATAAAGTTCATTCTAACGATCTTTCATGCGGTCAGGGAAAAAATTCGTGACACGATTCATCTCGGCTTGGGCTGGCCTGGCTCATATGAACAGCCCCTTGGTAGATAGAGATTAGAGAGTTAACATTTTCTGGTTCAGCTTTTTGAATGATGGTTTTCAATGTGAGTTACTCGTTCATTTGTTGTTGTCGTTGGGCGAAGTTGTCACTCACAATAATTTAATTTCACTTGTTAACTCCGATCATATCTAGTCAATCTTTCGTTTGAATTTGTTCTTACTATATCTTAGCATTCGATTAGGATGTAGATCTATTACAAAATTTACGAAACTCCACCTTTGATTGTGGTACAAAATGACATGTTTTGTTTTGCGCATGCTCACATCACATTAAAAACCATTGTTCAGAAGGCTGCATTGCACATGTTGCCTTTAATTGCAGTTAAAGAACTGAAAATTGTTATAATCTGACGTTTCCGCTCACTGCATGCCCATGCAGGTATAATTCAAATCATGTAATAGACCTCCAGACCTCAGAACAGTTCCTCAGTTTTATTAAATTAGAGTTGCCGAGTCATAACTGATCTCGCAATACACTGAATAGACCCAATTGAAAATGAAACTTCTCCGGCATAACAGACCAAGTTGCCCACTTCGAATGCTTTGTTTTTTATACATATTCAAGAGTGATCATAATACAGGGTGTATAAAAAAAACGCAACCTCGGAATTTCCCAAGAAATCGACATGGTTTTAAAGACAAAAGATTTTAGGCGCCTGGGAATTTAAAATACCACAACTGTCAAAATTATTGCACACGCGAGTGCATAAAGCAAAATTTATGCATTTATTTAATGCACAACAACAGTAATATGATCTATTAGCAATTCGATTTCAATTCCCACGGGCCTAAAATCTTTTATGCTTAAGAATTGCAAAGTGATTTCTTAGGAAATTCCGAGGTTGCGTTTTTTTTATACACCCTGTACAAGATGTAAACATCTCAGAAATGGTCACTTTGCATATCATTGCTTTGCATACAAAGGCAAAGCTGAAACTGAGGTGGTCTATTTCAAAACGGCATGCACTCCATATGAACAGGATGTTCCAACATTTAGAACACCGTTTGATAAACACTGTTCTGGGCTCTGGCCTGGAAGAGTGGAATCCCGGGCTTCTTATGAGGAACATTTGTCGAGAAACATTTTCAATATTTTTACACATGCACTCTATGCAAAAATTAGGAATCATACTTTTCATAAGGAATCATTTGAGATTGTGAAGTCGGTTGTTTTATATATGTTCATATCGAAGATGAAATTTTCAATCATTATTAGTTTACGCACATTTGAGGATACATTTGAAAAACTAGGTGATTTCAGGACATGAGACACATTATAACTACGTTTCCACTAGAGCACATGTTTTGTTTTGCCGAGTAATGAGCATGAATCCGATACAAATTGATCGCAGATAGAGTCTAAATATGGAACTCTTGAATCCGGCAATAACATACAATGAACTAATAAAAATTAGCTTTCTAAAGAACAAGTCATAAAACACTGACCACCATTGTTTTATGAAGCCAATAAAAAAAACACGATTTTACGTTGGTATTTACTATTTACTCGAAGTTGAAGTGTTGCATTCAGACGTAGAAGTTAACATGGCTTTTGACTGTGACTATTTCTTGCACAGACCAAACGTATATGAAATGGAAAACAATCTTTTAGCCCGTTTTTTAAAGGGGAAATGCACCACTTCCGCTGTTAACGAAAAAAATAAAATAAAAAACCGCCCGCCCCATGTTTTTCAAAAAATCTGATGAAAAACTGAAAATTTTTTTTTAATCGGCCCTAGGACTGGGATAGAGTATCCGCATCTATGATCCGCATGCATAAATGAAGCCAATGACCTTCCTATTGATGACATGATAGTGGAAGAGGTTTTTACCATTTCTGGTTATCGGTGAGAAGGGATAAACATTGTCATTGTCTAAATAGACATTTATCAGTAGTGACCTCAATGAGGTCACATCAAGATGGCTGCCACAAATCTCATTATCTACCGTTTAAAAAGTTCTAAAACTCATTGTAATAGAATATATGTGGGAGGCTATATCTTTTAAGTTTCAAGGAAAAAGATATTGCTGGATAATGCTGCTAATTTAAATACGTCGCGATCCGATAAGCAGAGATTTTGACCGACTTTAAAATCTCATCTCATAAATATGCAGAAGGATGCTCTATCCAGTATTTATGTAATCCCGAACGGTGCTCTATCAGAAGGATGTTCAACCCAGTATTCAATTATATAATCTATAACTATGCCAGTGCTAGTAGTGCCAATAAATGATAAGAAAGTTTCAGATTGATAGGGATACAACTATCTGAAAAATTATCAAAATACAAGGCGAAGGGCCTTCGTCGTGAAGTTACGTTACCCGACGAAGGGATTTCACTCGAAACGTCCAAGTTCTCCTTGTGTTTTTCAGGTATTTAATTGTATCCCTATCAATCCCAAGCTTTCTATCTAGTCCTAGCTTTCAGACCAGTGTCAGCGAGTTTCACATGTGAACGCACTCAACGCGAATCATCTCATGACTCATAGTGAAGTCTGTGAACTGAACCTAAGCCCGGCTAAGCGGTTTTACTTGGTCTATTTACGCCTGGCTATACGGCTAGCGATTATGATTTTTCATGTCTAGTAGTTCAACTAATAATATTAATATGCCTATTTGGTACACTTCACTGCACACTAGATTGCACATCCTTGTTTTGTTATTGCAGTCACGCCTTCGCTAACTCTGTTTACTGATAACGAAAGTGAAAAAGCGGAATGTTTCACCGAGACCTAATTTCTGAGCACTCTTGTACAAAATTAAGCCTGTACTACAGTATTTTCTTTGAGAAAGTGATATTCAACTATTTTAATGAGTAATTTCGATATTGTATTGATAGTATTTTAAACCTGTGGGCGGGCGTAAGAGCGCGTCCGACGTTAATTGTATGCATCTTTTGTTTGTACATGTTCTTTGTGTACAAAATGTCAATAAATGGAGAACAAAATTGGTTTGAGGTTTAATTTGATCCGCTGATAGAGGTACCCCTTGAGGCTGTTAGGACTTTTAGTACTTCTGAAATTAAAACTCTTATACCTTCTATGACTATGTTTCCAACGCGCATATTACGTTCGGAAACTCTAATCCATTAAACCTTACCGGATCACAGTTTCGTTTCGTGTCTTCGCCAGTTGTGAGAGCCAACGGAAGATGGCATACTAATGAGTTGCCAGCAGGGTTTATTTTCTGATTGAATATTTCCATCATACTTGCACTGTCTTGCTTTGTAATTAGCCCCTGGTCATAATCACCTTTTAAATTGTCCGTATTTGAATTGAGAAGATCTGTAACGTGTAAGCGTGGCCTTTTGCACGGTAGCGTGCATGTGTAACAGCTGCCATCCGTGTCTTTGTCCTTTGGTAGAATCCTAAGTTCGCTGCTTGTTCGACTCCGTAAGCGTTTTATCGTGTTGCTTATTAAAACAGTTCTACGCAGACAGCTTTCGGGGTCTTCTATACGCTGGAGTTTGTGTAGTGATAAATTTAAAATTTTCTGGTTTTCGTTGCCTTCGCATTCGGGTAGCGATATTGCTGTTGTTGTTGCAGCCTTCGACGCTGAGCGTTTGTTTGGGTTATCGACTGAATGCAATATGAAACAAACATTACAAAATATTTATGAGTCAACACGTAGCCAACATATAATATTCCGCACTTAGATATACTTAATAAAAGATAATATTTGGTAAACTATGTAGTTATATATCTTATGTATACCGCGTCAATTAATTTCCCCATGCCCGGACGAGACAATTGTTTTGGGCCGACAAAAGATGGCTGGAAAAATAACACTATAACTAAGTACCCCCATTTTACCTTCAAAACAGTATGTGTAGTCTAAGAAGTCTAAATCTTCTTCCGCCGTCTTCCATTCATAAAGGAATGATGAATCGTCGATTAATTGTGTTTCCATTACAAAGTTAGGATCTTTATGAGTTATCGGAGCACATATCAGGGTCATGACACACAAAGGACGGACGTTCGCCCGACTTCTATATGGAGGCAGGAAAATTACAAATAATTACAATATGATCGCATGTAAAGATACAGCTTTTTTAAACACATGATATTGATTTTGAAAGATGGGGAATTAATATTTGCGAGGCAATCGACTGCGATAAATCCGTACTGTATCTCACGTCAACATGTCATTATATGTAAAACAAATCGACTGCTTAATGTCTTAAATCTCATACGGGATAATTTTGTTTAATACACTTGTTGGTTAAAATAATTCATTATTGAAGTACGCGTACTCGTATTTAGTCACCGCGAGCGTTCGAATAGAAAATTACAATCAAAGAATTAGCATTAGACTAACTTCCTAACATCTCGAGAACCGGATCAATTCATTACACACATCAGGCGTGTGTAATTGAACTACATTGACAATACTCACCGTTTTTACGAAATTCCAAGTCATCCAGTACAGATTACGGAAGGATATTTGAGGTTCTTGACTACATGTAAAGTGTGATCAAAAAAACATCTGCTTCTTGGGCCCTTTACGCCGCCATTCCAATTTTTTTTTGAAAGATCAACATCAGAGTACCTCATTACGTCACAATTACGCGCGTTCTGATTGGCTGACGTTGTTATCTACCGCATTCCGTGTCAATATCAAACCTGCTCATTTTGTACACTGACTATACTCCATGCTGAGTGCCGCCATAATTTTTTGCTATCAAATTCCAAATGCTTTTAAATCTCGCTAATACAAGCAGCTAATCGCAGATAAACGCATCTAAGAGTAATTTGAGTAAGGCTATACCAACTGAACATTTTTTATTGAATACTTTACGCGTTTATCGTCCCACGCTGAGAATAGAACTCCTAAGAGATGTAAACACAGTCAGTACGCGTTTAATTAAATAATATTCAAAATTTTGACGCGAACATAATTGTTTTTATTGCGACGTGTTTGTTAATATATTTATTGGATAATAAGAGAAAAGTTGACATTGCTGATCTGTATTCGGAATAATGACTCTAGCGTGCAAAACAATTAGTGCAAATAACACCATAAGAGAATAAACTTCAAACGTGTTAAATATGCCCAGGATTTGTCAACATTTTGTCACTTTAAATTAAACACTCGATATTACAACAGGGCATTTGAGGAAGTTATAGTGGCGCTGTGAGGTGTCAAGTGACTCCTGTATATTCCACTGTTTTGTAATCTAATGCCGTGCGCATGAAACGAGGATGAAAGTGCATGAGAGTAGGCGGTCACGCGATCTTGGTTAGCTGTTCTTTATGTTTTCCCAACACTATCAATCTATCATGTATTTCTTATAAGTTAAAGATATTTGGAACACTCGTCAAACCTTTATTTTGTTAATTTTATAGAGCTTGAAATGTCTCCCGTAACAATGCGTGAGCGCCAAGGTGCCAACTCTCATCACTCGATGAAACGAGGATGAGAGTTGATGAAAGATGTTGGTCACCAATTGACTCAAGGATTTTGATCGGCTTTACCATTTCTAAACTGTTCTCCTCCGGCCCGTTTCAGACGGCGTACTTTCATGAACAGCACAGAATTTGGAGCGACAAAAGTTCGAGACAAGTTCGGCAGAGCTTGTCGGAGTTGTTGCATTATATGCGACGTTGGAGCACAGATTAATCTGTGGTTGGAGGCTTGGAGCGACATTGATTCATACGCCGCTCCACTCGTGTGCCAAACGGCCCAAACCTAACTCAACTTTTTAAAATTTGTTCTAGTATTAGATTAGCCCTTGTGATTTAAAAATAGACTTATTTGTTTTTGAATTTGATTTAGGTTTCACCGGCGAATGCGCCCCAATCTCGTCAATAACATTGTATTTGGTACGCCGTTTGAATTACTGCCGTTCTTGTGTCGCTCCACTGTCGCACCTAATACAATTAAGTTCGGCACATGGAGAGCACGCCGTCTGAAACGGACCTGGTACAGACAGTACTTACTACACACGTATTGTCACGTCTTCAACAAGATGTCTCCCTCAAGAAGCTTGTATCCAATTTGTCAGAACGTTGCAACAACGTCATAATATAACGTTGTTATTTTATCATGTTGCTGCAACTTGTCACCCACAATATCTTCTAACAAGGTGTTGAATTACAAGACGATAACATGTTGTTGGAGCAACTAGTAACACGTCTGTTGTATTATCAACTTGGTTGCGAGTAAAGCCCAAGAGTAAAATGAAAATGAGAGTTGATGAGAGTTGACTAGCGAGAGTTTGCATGAGAGTTTTCTCAACTCTTGTATGCCTCAGTCAAACGAGAACAAGAGTTGCATGAAAGCTGAAGAGAGTTGAGTGGATATTATCACGAGCGTAACAAAAAGTTGTTGAGAGTCGATGAGAGTTGGCAATCAAACACGAGCGAGAGTACATCCTGTTTTGACTGGGGCAGTCGTAAGAACTTGTGCATAAGTTGGGCTGGAACATGTCAAGTTTTACGACAGGTGGAAACGGGATTACCCGGAGAAAATATGCAGGACCTTGCGACATCAGATAACTGCATATTGGTCACCTACTTAAACTGATGGTAATAAATGATGATGGTGATGGGGATGATGGTAATATGATGGAATTGTTGACTGGTAATGATATTTATCGTCAATCAATGGTGATGTTGGTGGTTATGAAGATTGTAATAATCATGGTGTATGTTGGTGATGTTGAGTCGTAAGAACTTGTGCATAAGTTGGGCTGGAACATGCCAAGTTTTACGACAGGAGGAAACGGGAGTACCGGAGAAAACATGCAGGACCTTGCGACATCAGATAACTGCATATTGGTCACATACTTAGACTGATGGTAATAATGATGATGGTGATGGGGATGATGGTAATATGATGGAATTGTTGACTGGTAATGATATTTATCGTCAATCAATGGTGATGTTGGTGGTTATGAAGATTGTAATAATCATGGTGTATGTTGGTGATGTTGAGTCGTAAGAACTTGTGCATAAGTTGGGCTGGAACATGCCAAGTTTTACGACAGGAGGAAACGGGAGTACCGGAGAAAACATGCAGGACCTTGCGACATCAGATAACTGCATATTGGTCACATACTTAGACTGATGGTAATAATGATGATGGTGATGGGGATGATGGTAATATGATGGAATTGTTGACTGGTAATGATATTTATCGTCAATCAATGGTGATGTTGGTGGTTATGAAGATTGTAATAATCATGGTGTATGTTGGTGATGTTGAGTCGTAAGAACTTGTGCATAAGTTGGGCTGGAACATGCCAAGTTTTACGACAGGAGGAAACGGGAGTACCGGAGAAAACATGCAGGACCTTGCGACATCAGATAACTGCATATTGGTCACATACTTAGACTGATGGTAATAATGATGATGGTGATGGGGATGATGGTAATATGATGGAATTGTTGACTGGTAATGATATTTATCGTCAATCAATGGTGATGTTGGTAGTTATGAAGATTGTAATAATCATGGTGTATGTTGGTGATGTTGAGTCGTAAGAACTTATGCACAAGTTGGGCTGGAACATGCCACGTTTTACGACAGGAGGAAACGGGAGTACCGGGGAAAACATGCAGGACCTTGCGACGACATCAGATAACTGCATATTGGTCACATACTTAGACTGATGGTAATAATGATGATGGTGATGATGGTAATATGATGGAATTGTTGACTGGTAATGATATTTATCGTCAATCAATGGTGATGTTGGTGGTTGGTAATGTTGATCGATGATAAAGATGTTGTGGTACTTGTGATTATGATTAATGTAATAATGATAATAATAATGATGGTTTATAGTGATCATGTTGAGTGAAAGTAATGAAGAACTATGGTGGCGATTCTAGTGATAAAGATTCTAATAATGATCGCGTGTGGTGATGATGGTAACTGATGATAATCTGCGGTCAGTGATTGGGACGATTACCAGTGGCGTAACGGAGGGGCCAGCTTAGGCATATTTGGTGTGGGGGCCCCTGTTGACTTTTGTCATTGTTTGACTGAGATATTATTATATTTATATTCAATATTTATACGCGTTACGCCACTGCTGGGTACGAGGTTGGATGGTATTAAATGGTATTGATTACGGTAATGTATCATCTATGGTATGACCCTGGTATGGTTTTGACGGACGTTAACTGCATGATTTTGAGCAGGCCCGTAGCTGAGGGGGGCCTGGGGGGGCAATGCCCCCTCACTCGGTGGGGCAGTGCTCCCCCCAGTGCCCCCCCCCCACTCCGAAATTTGGTATTAAAAATTGAGATATAGGACGCGTGGAAACCAATTGTAATCATGGGACAAATTCTGTAAATTTTGTGGTTAATTTTGTGATTTTTCGAAAAATTTTGTTAGGTTTCGGAAAAATTTTGTATGTCCGGAAAAAATTGGTATGTCCGGAAAAAATTTTTGACCCTTAAAATGGTACACTGACCGAAATTTGTTTGGCGACGGGGGGGGAGGTCGCCAAAATAAATTAGGGGGAAAAAATTTTCTCATCTCAAACCCTCTGTTACAGTCTTTCTGCAGTCCCCCCCCAGAAATTGAGAGCCAGCTACGGGCTTGATTTTGAGTCATGCAGTTAATGCCATTGTAGATAATGGTGATCAAGATGGTATCAATGATTTGTTACGTTATCCATTTCATTGATAAAACAATGACAGAACAACAGAATAGGAAATATAGAACGACACTAACGAATCGGGCCGGGCCTGATCGCAGGTTAGGCTCGCATCATGTTTTTCGCCAGAAATTTTTAGTGAATTTAGCGAAATCAAAAACTATGTATGTGTTGTAAACAATTAAATAAGTCATATAATAAAATAAAATTACTTTTTTATCTGATAAAAAATTAGAAAAAAAATTCAAAAGTACGCTGGAGGTGCCGGGGATTGAACCCGGGGCCTTCCGCATGCGAAGCGGACGCTCTACCACTGAGCTACACCCCCAAAATCTCCAGAATCGTGAAAATAACCCTATTTTAGTCGTTCTGATACCTAATAAACAACCTCAAATTACATAATGAATTGATTTGTTAGATTTTATAAAAATTGTTGATTTGATTCTATAACATATTCTTAGCTCAATATTAATACTGTATTACTACCATTTTTATACCGAATCGATGCTGTTCTATACGATGAATGTTTGGTGACAGTGTTTTTCAGAAGTGGACCACAGACTTTTGCATGATGGTAACCAAAACATCTTAGTATTGTAGACATAAAAAAAGAATGTATATTGAGAATAAATCAGAATTGTTTAGAGCAATTTACATTAAATTTTGAAATTTTCAGGAATCCGCGTACCAGAGTGGGGGACTGGGTTTGAGCAAACTTCGCTGGGGGTCGACAAGACGACAAACAGGACAACGTATAAACAAGGAAAATTTTTTGCTAGATAATCAAGTTTTGAAATCAGTTTTTGTCCGTTATTCCTTTTCTTTTAACTCACCAGATTGTTCAGTATGGTAAGTGTAGAGAAGGATGTCTTATTTTGTTAGATTTTCAGCCATGATCATGCAAAATTTATTGTGAATTATTGTTGAAAATATTTGGTATTAATTTATAACACGTGTTATAGATAAGATGGTGACTTGTTTAGATTTCTAGCAGTTATTTCTCTTATTTCAAGCTTCCCCGATTAACTGGGGAGTATTGCTTCCAAGCTATGTTTCCCAAAAGTGTGCAAGCCAAGAAACGTAGTGTGTCAGAAACATTTGCCATGTACGTGCAATTACGTCACTTTCCAGTCAGGAATAATTGCAAAACTGAAACTGAATTTGTTGGCAAACATTTTGTTTCCAGGGAAGGACATTTGTTTCAGAAACAATAGAGTGGTTCAGATTTTGACTTCCACTACTGTTGCTGTTGGCGTTTACCAATCAGATGTATTAAGAACATTCAAAAAATTCAAAATAAATTTTGAATATATTTCTGGAAATTAGCAATGTTAAATAAACATTGTCAAGTTGTTACAAAGCTCAGAATTTCAGCTCATAGATTACCTGTTGAAACTGGTCGATATAGCAACGTTCCGTACAATAAAAACATCGGAAACAAACAGCACTATTTTAATGTGGTGCAATAATACAAGGTTTACTGATCTCAGAGCAAGCCAAGTATTGCTTCGATGTCCTAACAAATTTAGATCAATTGTAATTAGTGTAATCCTAATTCTCTAGTCTTCCTTGAAATGTAAACAATTTCAACAACTTGAAATGTAACAATTTCATAACTATATTTGTAGCCACACAGTATCCTTCTTGTTCAACCTAATCGCCATGATTCTCGAACATATGCAGACTATGAAGAGGTCGAGGAATGTATGGAAGGTAAGCTCTTTTGTGCTTTGAAAATGGTTAATATTTAACTTATTAGCCACAACAATGCATCTTTTACTTTCAATTTGCTTTTGAAATCTGACTTTCGAATATTTGTTTGTAAGTTCAGAATGTTCATTGTAAAGTTCCTAAATTTGTTTCAAAGTTCGTTCTGATGATTTACAATGATCAAGCCTCATAAGTTGTAATTTGCTAGTTAAAAGCTAGCCAATGAAATTGCTTACTATCGAATCATTGTTGTGAATCATCGGAACAAACTTCGAAACAAATTTTGGAACTTTGCAACGAACATTCCAAAGTTGTAAACAAGTTGTTTCGAAATGAAGGAATGTTATCAAAAGTTATTTTCTTTTTAGGAGTGTGCAAGATATTTGAAGAACATTTAAAAAGATCAAATCCAAACAGTCCATCCATCACTTATGACATAAGTCAGCTGTTTGACTTCATTGATTCACTACAAGATCTTGTTTGTCTATGGTAATGCTCTTGCTCTATAACACTAGAGACCTTAAGATCTCAGCAAGGTTACGATGACGACTAGTAAAGCCTGGTTCACATATGTCTGCGGTATGCCTGCAACTGTATCATTATGCCTCTAAAGTTGAACTCAAGTCAACTTTCCCGGCCTACCGCCGATGTAACTGTGGCACTGGAGGCAATCAGCGAACAAATATTCACATAATTCACGTTTTAAGCTACCACCGGCATCGTCGCCGGTACGTCGCAGGCGTATTAACAGGGCTTTCCAACTCAGAAAATTGCGCGCGCGGACAATCGCGCGGGCAAATCAAACTGCGCGCGCGATTATTAGACGTTTATTTTATACACACCCATTGACCTAGACAAAACAATAATACATCAAGAAGGACATGTCAAATGAATGCGGTTTTACACATATATTAGCATGCAAATATTGATTTAATAAAGCGTCATGTGTATAACTCAAAGTTTGGGAACGTTACAACATAAGAAGCACACATGCTCGTGATAAAATTTATACATGATTTCAATGTTTCTGGAAGGATACATATGATCAAGCTTAGTTATTGTACCTCTTGTTTGTACTTAATTTAAACTTACTTAATAGAATTTCACTTATGAATAACTATAAGTAAAGTTATAAAATCAGAATCAAATGAAAGCACGCGGCAAAATTCAGGTTCACTTCAGAGTTTGCAAAAGAATTAAACGGCTATACAGTAGCATTAGAGCTCTTCCATTAAAAAAAAAACCCTGAGCATGTTTTGCTATGTAAATTGGAAGGTGTGAACTGCTAAATTTGTATTCTTGAAGAAAGTATAATGTCAATCGTCACTAATAACAATAAAAAAACAAATGTCAGATCTATTTATAACTTTTATCAAAAAGTTTTACTCTTTCACTCGCAGGCCGCGTGCTTTCTATTGTGATGGCCTTTGCACAAAGCTTGTTCCTTCAATATATGATTTGACTGACTTCTTAATCGGCCCTTTGCAGTTTGGATGCTGAAATAAAGCATTTTCATTGCGTTGACAAACTTTGCACTAAACAAAATTAACACACGCGTTGCCCATCGTTGATCGTCTTCTAGCCAATAACACCATTTCCCCCCACTTCATAAAAGTTGCCAGATCGACCTTAAAAACTTTGGTGGCCATCTTCAATTATAAACACCCTAACTTTGGAAGAATACCGATAATATTGCACTCTCTGTTAAATAATGTAAAGTTCTAAACTGTCAAATGAAGTTTGGTTTTGTTACATGATATCTTAATTCACCGCGTGTCAAAATTGTAACGCGCGATTATCCTTAAAAATCAAATTTGCGTGCGCGATAAATCGTGCGCCCAGATTCACGTGGGCGCGTGCGCGATCGCGCGCCCCCAGAGGAAAGCCCTGCGTATATGTGAACCAGGCTTAATACAATGAAATTAATAATATTTAAGAAAAGAAATGAATAATTAAAATCCCACAGGAGATTTAGATGTTGTCCACTATCTGTTTACAACCGGTCAACCAGAGTTTTTACGTCCTGTGTACAGCGTTTGCATTTTAGTATGTAAGAAGTGGATACTCAGAACATTGCTTCAGTACTAATGTGAAACTCTACTCATAAAAAGCCCCTGTTTTGAACACTTCAAGCTGTGTTAAACTGATACGATTGATGATACACGATAAGCTTTCTTTACAATAATTTATTTGAATGAGTATGTTTTGACCATCGTCGTCACTTGGCTGTCCTGCACCTTAAGATCTCTAGTTTTAAAATTGACCACCTGCACATTCTGAAATCCTCCAATCATTATGTTTTCTTTTCATACAGTCTTGATACCAAGTCAGGAAAATACGAGCCTCACAACAAGGAATGGGTGAAAGAAAAAATTTATGTCATGTTGCGAAAACAAGCTGGAAAGTAAAAGACAAGGAAGAAAGCCTTAATCACTCAGACATTTTAAAGAGTTGTAAAATGCATTGACACTCGGTATGAGTGCATAAGATAAAGCACTTATGTTGTATTATATATACGTGACAAAACTACATCATTTTAAGTTGGCAGTACGCTAAGTTAGCTTAGCTTTCTAGTGCGATAATTGGGGGGTGTATATTCATATATTCGAGTTCTGCCTGACGGTCACGGATGTCTTTTGAAAGTGATTGTTTTTATAGTATGTGAACATGAATATACACCCCCAATGTTCTATACATCATTGACTGGAATAATACAAAATTCCCAAATTTACTGGCTGGCAATGAAAACCACTTTTTATAGATTATATAATGGATTACGTTTTTGCCTTGATTTCGAGCTATTGTTTTGTGTGCACTCAACTCAACTGAATTTAGGAAGTGTCTATCGTATATACAGTATGTGAAGCCAAACAAGTGAGTATCAAATGCCAGTTGACCAGTTGACTTCAATTGACCAAAGGTATTATTTCCAGAGACACTGATATATATATATATATATTTAACTTACTGTTATAATAAAGAACTAAAAATGTTGATTGTTGTTATGTATTGAATTTTGGCTGAGTATGATCTTCTGCTTCATTTTGAAAGTGGGAAAACAAATTTGAGACATTTTCAGATGTTTGCATACTGTAAAGTATGTTTACACTTTTGTGATTTGTTGGGCTGATTTCAGGTTTTGGCGTTTGGCAATTAATGTTAATGACGAAATGATTCAGTTGCAAGATCGGCCTGACAAATAGCAGTGTGTAGATCATCAGTAGATGTAGCATAACTAATTCATTTACTAGGTTGTTTTTGTGAGCCTGGTCAAGTATACCGTGTTCCCATTGTTTTGAGATGCCGACCAGGCTCATTTTATGACCAATGGTGCAAAATACAGTTTATAAGAATTCAACAGTCAGTGAGCGAAGTGCGTGCGCTCTCTAGTCTCTATGCATCTGGAGCATTGAATTGATCTGGTGTAAGATTTCAGTTATTCCTATAATTCCAGATATATATGACGCTCAGTGGCAGAGTCATTCCAGATGCACGTATAGCTCAGTGCGCGAAATTGAATCATAGAGTCCTGGGACTTATTCTACCCATAATACAAGTCGCGCCTAGAGGTTGACTTTCAATGTGGAAGCTGAAGAAGACAACACGTTTTGCAGTTTTAAACAGAAATTTCTTATAAAATGTCTTTTCAAGCGCCTCCACAGTCGAATCTTGCCCCTCCTGGGACTCAGGGCAATGTGATGCCTGGCTATCTCCCTCCTTCTGGCTTACCACCGCCCCCTATGCCTCCATCTTTTCCTGGCTATCAAGTCCCACCGGCCTCTCAAAAGCAGCAAGGTAAGGTCAGACGTCAGGTCTCCATGAAATGAGAAATGAACACAAGATTTTATATGTTAGAAAGATCAGCTGTAGTTGTTTTCTTGTGTTAAAATAGAGTTATTCTAGTTTATATGTTCATAAAACTGTGTTTTGCTAAAGGCTGGTGGCTTACAACTTTTAATAGCAAAGACAGTTTGATTGATACTTGATCAAAGTGTGTGAAGTGTTAACCTTCAAAGACTTTTATCAAAGTTGTCAAAACACAAATTCAGACTGCACCCACGCAACAACATTGGCTGAATATGAAATCATTTAAATTTGAGTATGGTTTTAAAATCGTCCAGTCCATGTGAACACCTGACTGGAAAGTTTGGAAATTGTGCGCCAGAGATTTAAAAAATGTAATAGTAGTTATAGAAAGCATCAACATTGTGTGCCGGAGATATCCACAGTGTGATACAAACTTTCCACGCTGGTGTGACCAGAGCTTTACTTACATTCTATTTCACGAAACGTTTGCCAAAATATTCATAATATTTGCAAACCAATTGTAAACTAAGCATTTGATTGGCTTCTTTTAATTCACAGACCAATTGGAGGCTTTGTTTACAAGCTCCCTTGTGAATTTGAACTTTATATTATTTATAACAAAATTACAAACTTCAAAAAGAAGTTTGGAACATTTTGGCAAACATTTTGTGTAATTATATTTTTCAAAGTTAATACACATGGACGGGGGGAGGAGGAGGCAAAGTTGGAGTGTGTGTGTCAATTTTTTTATCAAGTCCATTTTTTGAACTTTGAAAGGCAATTACAGGAACTGATATTTAATAATAGAGATAAAATGAGATAGTAATATCATTGTGAAATTGACTGCAGAATAGTGCCTTGCTGTCATAGCTCACCTCTAGTGATAATGCACTTGGTTGACAGATGCATATATCCTGAAGTGCACAAATCTTCATGAGATCTGGCTGGATCTATCCCTGAATTACTACATTTAAGCCCAAGTCTCTCATATTTCTTATATGCTATGTTTATCATTTGTTTTTCTTATGTAGGTGGAACACCATCTGGATTTTCTAATTCTGGGGTAAACTAAACTTGCCACATTCTAAAGTAGTTACATAGTGAGGTCAGCTCTAATACTTACGCTAGTTTTACAACATAAAGGCTGATGCAATATTGACCATATCAAATTATACAAATTAGAAAACATAGTTTAGTCAACTTGGATGTATACAGGGCTCGAAACTTGCGGTATCCCGATATCCACAGGATATCAGATTTTAATTTTGGATACTGGGTATCATAAGCTCAGTATCCCAACTGGATACTAGGAAAACTTAGAAATTGCGATAGTAGATAATCATCTAGACGTTTGGCATGTTTCCGAACGGATTTTGGCAGAATATTTAAAAAAAAAATTTCACAAACGGCGCTTTCTTTCGTACCGCCGCAGTGTGTTATTTTCAATTTTTTCGAATTTCAATACATATTTTTAATATTGAAACTAAAGGCCTGGTGTTTGCTCAGCAACTGAAGGCCTGGTTGCAAGGTAAAATTTTGCCTTGCTTAGATACTGGAAATAGAATATCTAGTATCCAAATCTGGGTTACTATAGGATGGATACTAGATTCTATGATGCTGGTATCCACTTGGTTACTTACAAAAATTTCATGTTTCGAGCCCTGATGTATACCAAGTTAGAATGATACTTGAATTGATACTTTATTTTTTAAAACCCATTTGTATGTTTTTTCCATATAGCATAATAATCAGCAAGGTCACCGTCCACATTTTGCCAAGAAGCACAGTGATTATTATGACAAAAGAAATTATCAACAGGTTAGGGTAATTTGTGAGACAAAGACATTGTCTTGTAATACAGTAGTACATACAGTACATGTGGGACTTTGGTGGCACAGTTGTCAGAGCAAGCGCCTTTCAGTGTTTCACCTATGAGATAGGGCCAAAAAAAATATGTGGGTTTCCGGATTCTTATAAAAACTTAGGTAGGGTAGGTCGGTTTTAACTTCTTTTTTTAAACTTTTTTTTTAATTTTCCGAATAAGCGGACGCCATTTTGTTTAGCCAGTGCTTCCACATCCAAAGATAAATTTCCCTAATATTGCCTCAAATTTCAATTTTCCACAAACTTTTTCCTCTAAGTGGAAACACTTACAAGTGTGATCCAATAAAAAAGTTTAGGGTCGGGATTTCGACGTCCAAAAGCTAGGTAGGGTCGGGAAACCGGAAACCCACATATTTTTTTTTTGGCCTAGTCGGTTTGATTTAATTTTGCTACAGACTTGTGTGAAAAGAGTCTGCCAACGCTCTGCTGAAAGTCGTGGGTTTTCTCTGGGCGTTCCAGTTTGCTACCACAGGGCAGGATGGGTTAGGATAAAAACATAGTTAGGAAGGTAATACCGGTATCACAATTGTTGTAAAGATAAGTAGTCTAAGCTTGGTAAGTAACATAAGTATAAGCGTAATACTTGATGTAATCGGTCACTGAAAAGCCCCAATGGGGAGTGAGCTGAATAATAATGTAACAGTTAACAAATATAAAACATTTTCCGTGTTGATATACAGTTATATAGTTATATCAACTCCGTGTTGATATATAGTTATATCGATCAACACAAGTGGAAATTGGGAAAACGAGAAATTTCACAATTTCGAGATTTTGATATACTGTAAAGGCCCATTTCCACTCAAGAAAAATTTCCATGGACAGAAAATGTTCCAAAAATTTCATTATTAATTAAAAGTTGAAAATTTTCAACTTCAAAATTTTTTTCCGCTGGAAAATTTGTGTCGGCCAATCACATTTTACAAATTTTCTATCTGCGGAAAATTTTACTGAATAGAAATGGGCCTTAACTGTATATCAATACGAAAAAAATGTTTTATATTTGTTTGATAATATAGCACAAAGAAATACAGCACAAAGAAAGAAACTTTCCGACGTTTCCGTGTTGACATTGAGTTACAGTATATCAGCACAGCTCTTAGCCAATCAGCGTTCAGAATTTACAAATGCTATATTATAATATGTGATCTTGAACAGTCTGTGTACCTAGTGACAATAACAAGATAGCTGTGGATTGAGTGAGAACTACCTGAAGAATACCAAGCAGAACTTCAACATTTCAAGCGAAGGTCCTTCGTCGAGAAGTTAATAGCAAATTAATTTCGCCGGGGAGTTCATAACCTGTTGATAATTTACCAATGAAGGGCCTTCGCTCGAAACTTCATAGCTGTATTTTTCAGGTAGTTGTATCTCTCTCAAACTGCAGCTGTCTCACACAGGCTTTTAGTGAACGCCTTTGGATGCCAAAATTCTGGGGGAAAAGGGAAATTATTTTCAATGATTCCCTAAGTATATTAATATATCCGAAATAGCTTCAATTCTCATTATTATTATACATTTGACATTTTGATCAATTTGATGGTGTACCTGGCTGAATGAAAATGTCGTAGTTAATTTAAGTAAAGAAGCAATAGTGGCACAAACTCACAAAGCCAAGTGTGTTTGAAAAATTTCAAATGAGGTTGGAAAGATACTAACGTGAAGTAATATAAACTTCAAAGGTTTTCCACCTAAACGATTTCTCGAACCCCCAACCCCTTTTTACTGTAGATGTATCGTTATGTCAAAATCGGACGCCCTCTTTTACGACTCACAGTATGATCTATTGTAAATTAGACACCAATAACATGCACATGAAAAAACCTCCTTTATTAATCTTGTTCAAATTGCATTATATATAGAACTACAGACCTCCAAACAGTGACAAGCCAACAGTAACAGTGTTTGTAGGTAATATTACTGAACATGCAAGTGACGCTCTCATTAGACAGTTGTTAATGGTACGTACTTTACTTTCTGACGCTTATTTGATATCATGTTATTATAATAACGATAGTTATCCCAATGGTACTTTCAAATATAATTTTGACTCCAATCAATGCCCATGGCAATTACTATGGTATGACAGTACAAAGTTTTTATTTTTTACCTAACTTTACTTGATGTTTAACCCATTAAATTAAGTCGCATTGTGTCTTAATGCTCCCTATGTTATTATTTACTTTATCTAATGCCAGATGATTTTAGTCTGTCAAAAACCAATGGATTTTAGTATTTCTAATGCCTGAAGACAAATTTACTAGTCAAGGGGAGAGTGGTGGCACTCGTGTTAATAATTTATTTTTGTTTTGTTAGAAATGTGGTATTGTTATAAACTGGAAACGTGTTCAAGGGGCAGATGGCAAACTGCAAGGTGGGGCACTGGTACACAACTAAGGCACTACAACATGGAGAAATCTGGCATACAGCATTGCATCTTACGTATTTTGTTTTATATAAAAAAAATTAATGATAGTTTTTTTCATCTAGCATTTGGCTTTTGTGAGTATGTTGATCCAGAAACTGGTTTGAGAGCCATCAGATTGCTTCATGATCTTTCATTCGGTGACAAGAATTTAGTAGTAAGTCATTTGCAAATAATTCTGTACCCTAATTTAGTAGTTCACTCCGTCTCATGCCAGATATTTTACTTGTCAAAGGGAGAATGCCGGTGGCACTCAATGCCAGGTTAATTTAATACTATAATAATAATATTTGGGTGATTATTTGCAGGTGAAAGTTGACCAAAAGACAAAGGAAATGCTTGAGGAATATAAGAAGAAGAAAGCAAGTTCAGAAAATGTAAGTTGGAGACGTACAGCACATGCCTGTGAGATGTTGAGTAGCGGCGCTACCTGCAAGTGCCTGAAGCTAACTGTAATCCCTGGTCAGAAGATCTTAATGCATGCTTAAAGTAAAGTAGAAAATTTCAATTTTTCCGAATACATTTTGCAATATTTACCCAGACTCGAACAGAGTTCTTCGATGGCCGGTCCCCTGTCGCAATTTGCAAGCTTCAAGCGAAGCAGGCAAGTTTGGACTGCACAGAGCTAACTGCAAATTTTTTTGGTTACCTGCAAAAATACTAAATATACAGGCATGGTATAAATATAGCAATTTGAAATATCTGGAACTAGTGTTCACTAGCTGGCAACACGTCTAAAAATGCTCATTAATTTCATTACTGTTTAAAGTACCAGTTTTCAAAGTACCACTGGTCTTAGTTTGTTTTTCTACATATTTTCTATTCATTTCTTGTTATTATTTCAGAAAGAACTTAAAGATGGGGATGAGGAAATTTTGGATGAAGCCACCAAGGTATAAATAACAAAGCTATTCAATCAATGTAAGATAATTAGTTTAGATTGGTTGAAGGTGACGTCAAATTTTATAGGTACATGAAATTGTAAAGCATTTGGTGTATTTTTTTCACTATGTAGAGGCACGATGAGGAAGTTAGGAAAGCAATCAGTGGATTAGTGAGTGAAAATTCTGATGTTCTTTCTGGAAAGTTTAAAGGTTTGGACCATTGTAGTTGAATATATTTTGAAACAACATGCCAGGGATTGAAACTGCCGCTTTTAATTAATTTGTAATCTTGAATATAATTACGCTTATTTATGTATTTTTTCTTGTTTTGTGTTTTAGCTCCTGTATCCAAATGGAAACAAACGCACAGTGGAAGTGAGGTATGGCATTTAGACAGAGTAAAAAAATTCTTTATTTTTCCAAGTGTCACCACTGTTAAAGGCACAGTTCAGCCTTTTGAACGATGGTTTTTAAGGCGCATTTCAGCCCTTTTAATTGAAAAAACTAACTAGGAAAATCAATTAAGTATAATTCAAAATCAGTAAACTCGATGTTTTTAACAATAAAAATGTTTTAGAATGTTAAAAATATTGAGTTTGGTGATCTTGAATTATGCTTAATTGATTTTCCTAGTTAGTTTTTTCAATTAAAAGAACTGAAATGCGCCTTAAAAACCATCGTTCAACAGGCTGAACTGTGCCTTTAACGTTTCACCCAAGATATTGAATGCAGCTTTTTGTAACATGGGTATGTGACTCATGGGTATGGAAGTGTATAGATTTCAGGTTGATCTGGAAGAGAAACATAATATTTTAGATTAAAAATTAGTTGTAATAATTTCTCCACAGGAAAATTTGGACGGTTTGGGCATGGATAAGGAGAAGAAACATCTCATATCCAAAGAGATCCTATCCTTCAGAAATACATACAAGGTGAGACATTATGTTTTATTTTCTCTTTATTTATATTTTGATGTTTTTGTGTCTAAACTGTGTCAAACAGTTCTTAGTACTTTATGTGAATTAGAATGCTCTGTGAAAGAATGTTGTACTGTAGCTTATATATTTCACTATTTTATATAGTTTGTGGTCATACATAAGTAGTTAAGTAATGCCCTTTATAGCAGAATGTTAAATGTTTTGCCTAAATTATTGTGCAATTGGCAAGTCCCTTCTTACTGTTGTTGTATTGTAGGCATGACACTGGGCTTTGAGGGTTACCCCAAATTACTTACAATAGAAATCTCTTTGTTTACAATTTGCAAGTATGCACAATCAAATAATGATTCAGATGAGTAATGAGTTGTACAACCACTTAAAACAATTACAGTATGTGTATGTGGTATCAATTTTTAGGATACAACTGTATTTGAGGATTGTACTGTGTAATCTGAAACACTTAGTTTACTCTGCTTAATGCCAGATGATTTCACCTGTCAAGGGGAAAGTGCTGCCACTGAATTTGATGTACATACAAAATTCATAGTCTAGAAATTTTTTTGTTGATCAGATGAAATATTGTTATACTGTATTATCACATATATTAAATGTATAGTATATATATACATAATTTTACATGTGCTGTAGTTATAAGAATACTAAAGTTGTTTGTTGATGTTTAGAATTTATCATCAACTTAAACCTCTGAATAAAATATGCAGCAATAAAATGTGCAGTGTAATGCTGTATTATATAGAGAATAATACATGGGTGAGCGGAAATACCAGATTTATTTCGAGTGTTGAACATGATATCTCACGAGTGAGCGCAGCGAACGAGTGAGATATCATGTTCAACACGAGAAATAAATCTGGTATTTCCAAGCACCCATGTATTTTTCTGTTTATTATATAAACAAAATCCAGTGAAAAACAATAAAACGTCCGTGGCAATGCGTTTTACCACAAATGATAAAAATATCGTGTGTTTAAATACGATTTTTCTCAGTGGCCAAAAGCTCTATATAACACTTATGTTTATATAATAAATAAGCATACTGTATAGCTTGTAGGCTGAGAAATAAGACATAAGTAGCATTGTGCCCATTATTAAAGTGGTTTGAACCCAATTACAGTAAACATGCAATGCAAATTTTATTTGGGGTTAACTAACTATATAGCCTACATGTCAAGCCCAATATTGAGAAATAGGAAGTGGGTTTTATTTAACAATGGCTATATTATTGCCTACATAACAGTTACTGTGTCGAGCTGGCGAGATTTTGAGAAAATGTGGAACAGTTTTGTCATAATTGCTCTCCTTCTTAGGCTCTCTACGGTAGGGTAAGTTATACCTGACTAGTTTATAGTCCAATCAAACTTCTTACAATATGAAATATAAAATGCTAATGAGTAAAACTAGTACCTACAGTAAATAACTACTGTTAAAATAGTTAACAGTGTTTGATTATTTGCAGTTCAACTCAGGTATGGCAAAAATATTTCCTTTATAATATTCCATTTGTTATTTTAGTGTTTGTGTGTCTAGTTATTTATAACATTTGTTGCGTTGCAGATTTTTTTCTAATATCATAGATAATGTAGATATATTATTTCTGTATTTGTATTTTGAAAATAACAAATTGTTGCATTTATTTGCAGGAATCTGTTGGTATGTGCTTAAGTAATATTTTCTGCATATTTATTAATTCCTGCTTTTAATTTAGGTGTATAATATACTTTATACTGATTACTGTATTGTTGCCTTAACCTTTTGGTACCGTGCTTGTGTGATGAGCCTGCCTCGCAAACTAAATAAATTGTTCCTCTGTTTTACTTGTTTACTGTACATTAATAGTATACTGTATATTAATTTTCAATTTTGTTATTGTGTTGATAATTAGATTTGATAATGTGAATTATCTACCTGATTACATGATGTATCCTGTTTAAAAATGTTTTATATGCTCTCTTACTAGTAGTTTGAGAAAATCAGACTAAAATTTTTCACTTATATAGGTTGTTCGTATATTTAATATGCTTCTTCAAATGTATTTAGTGTAGTCGGTTTAGTAATCAAAATCAACTACGCTTAAATATTTCATTTATATAGGTTGAGAAAAGTCATTCTTATAATTAACATACTTTCTTTAAACATACTTTATAGGTTAAACAAATTGTTTGATTTTAGTTGCAGTTTTACATTTTCTATACGATTTTCTTTGTCACCGTGATTTATGTTATATTCTTGCTGTGTTATTTATGTATAAATGGTCTGTTTTGGTTCAAATATTGCAGTCGTATTTACTGTTTACAGTACATTAAGAACAATCGAAAGTCTGGTTGACACTATCAAAGTTTCTGTGATCACAGTAGGAATTTTGCATAGGTAAATTCTAAGTTTTGAATGATTTGTAAGAAATATTTGAGGGAACAGCTGGCGGAGTATTAAACACTGAGTCAGTTCAAACATTTCTTATACAGTAAATCCTTCAAAACGTAGAATTTATCTATGCAACATTCCTACAGAAACATTGACAGTGTAAACTAAGCCAAGGTGTTTAATCGTTTGTTTTTCGTGTGGTTTTCTTTTTCAGCATCACAGCGTGTTTTTGCAGTGGAATGCTTATGCTTGTACAAATGTTTGCGAATGCATACCTAAAGTATAATCTAAAATACTAAATGTATATATTAAATTGGTTTTAGGACTCACAGAAGTACAACATATTTTGGAAGTTAATATAATAATTCACTATATTGTATGTTTGGGGAAAATTATATGGTAACAAAATACCTGCTAATAATATTCCAGTTATCTCTTTCTTATAGCGTTCGGCAGCACTTACCTTGGTAGATAGTAAGCCCTAGTCTAAATGTATATTGACTTGGTTTTAGGACTCGCAAAAGCAGCAGCGAGACAAGGACGACAAAGAGGAGGACAGAGAAAGAAACCGAGACCGCGAGAAGCAACGTGAGCGCACTCCTGAGAAGGAACGAGAGAGAAGTAAGAGTCAAGAGAAGACCAAAGATCGTAACGAAGATCGCGTTAGAAGGAGCCCAAGCAAGGAACAAGAGAGGGATACGAATAGGGATACGAGGGATCGCGAACGGGAGAATAGGGATAATCGAGATAACAGGGAACGTGATAGGGATAGAAGAGATCGTGACAGGGATAGAAGGTAAGTGAGGCGTTTATTTAATCACGATCGGTAAAAGCGGCAGCAGTTGGGGTGGGGTATGGAGGAAAGGGGGGGGGGGTGCATGAACCTGTAGTAAAGGTTCTGTGATTGGTTGATTATAATGCTATACTATGTTATACTTAGGGATCGTGAGGGTGATCGTAGGGATCGTGAAAACAGGGATAATAAGGGATCGTCGAGGTCAAATCGGGATAGGGAGTTGGACGAGGATGAATCGTATGAAAGAAGGAAGCGAGAGAGAAGACAGAAGGAACGAAGTCAGGCTTATGTGGAGGTAGGGAATTTTGAATGCACGTTAAAACACAGAATTTTGTACTAAACTAATTTTATTCATAGCGGATGCCTCTGGCAGTGTTTAGCTGTCCTCCCTAAAGTTCCAACGCGTTATACAAAGTTGCTACGCGCGCTCGAAGACACGTGGTCGAGTGTTAATACCATTTCACGCGTTTAACAGTGCCCGAGCTTCGATTACTATAAATGAGCCAATCATATGTTTTTTCAACACGGTGTCTGCGAACTTTGAGAGTTACGCGACAAGACGTTGCCTATTGCAACGCAAACTTTCGTTTTTGCCACATTTTTTATTGACACTGTGAGTAATTTCTTTCTGACATCTGTTTTAATGTTCCTGCAGCGTTTGAAGGCGTGGGAATTACGTGAGAGAAAGAAACAACGCGAATATGATCGTGAACTGGAGAAAGAAAGAGAGAATGACAGTGAACAGGTATAACACACAACACGGGGATGGATCCCAGCCAGCTCTGGTAGGGTGGGTAGTCATCGAGCTTTGGTCATGGTTTAGGTTGCAACCGTTGACCAAGTGCATAATTACTCCAGCCTTGCCAGTATACATACCAATATGCTCGAATATACTGGCTCAATATACCAGCTGTAGGGTACGTACCAAAACTAGGAGGGGTGTGCATCCCCTGCAGCACCCAGTAAATCCATCCCCTGCAGCACCCAGTAAATCCATCCCTAAACAGTCGTATAGATACAGACAGCTCCTCTCCTTACAGATGGCAGCTGTCTATAAAACGGACACTTCTCTCAGTTTTACATGTTTTTATTATCCACTATGAAGACCTTTGTTCTACACTAGTTAATTCACCAGTCAGGTATTAATTTTTCCAGGCAAGAGAAAAGAAACACTTGTTAGAGTTCCTAGAAGATTATGACGATGAACAGGATGACCCGAAATACTACAGGTAATATACAGTACACTGAGTAGAAGGTATTGATTTCATAGTTTGTAGTTTAAGACCTGATCAAGCGAGGATGAGAGTTGATGAAAGTTGAGAAGCGACAGTTTACATCAAAGTTTTCTCAACTTTCATGTCCCAGTCAAACAAAAATAAGAGTTGCATGAGATTTGGTGAGAGCAAGTTTATGTACCTGACAAACGAGCAGGTAAAATGTCGACGTTTGGAACGAAGACCCTTTATCAGGAAGGGCCTTCTCTCCAAATGTCGAAGTTTTACTTGTATTTTACCGGTAGTCGAATCTCTCGCAATCCACAGCTTTCTCGTGTTATTGTCACTACCTATGCTGACACAGACCGTTGAAACAAAAACTCTCTTAAACAGTCCCGAAATATCATCAACTCGAACCGAGTTGACCACGTAGCTCAGTTGGCAGAGCATTGGACTAGTATCCCAAAGGTCGCGGGTTCGATTCCCACCGTGGCCAAGCAATTAACTTTTCAGCTTGCCCGGTGTGGATGCACACTCAGAGTAAACATCACAAACATCATATTCACCTGAGTATATAACACCAACACACAGAAATATCTCTTAAACAGTCATGAAAATTTGAACCAGCTTTAAAGTTGATGAGAGTTGGCAGTCAAACTAGCTGGAGTTTGAACTCTCATCCTCATTTAACTTGGTGGTTTTCCTGTAAAAGTGTCCACATACATAGAGGATATTACACGGCGGCGCGAAGATATGACTTTTATCTTCGAGTGGTGAAAACAATATTTACAAACGAGCGCAGCGAGTGAGTAAAATATTGTTTTTAACACGAGAAGATAAAAGTCGTATCTTCAAGCCACCGTGTAATGTTCTGTTTATTATATAGTCCCAAGCAAAAAATTGTATAAATACTAAAAGTCACGTGATCTATATCTTCACAAGTGAAGATATATCTTCACTAGTGAAGATATGGAAAATATCTCGCTGTGTATTTTTCAGTATCTCCCTCTCTACTATATATAATAAATGTACATATACTGGTATACCCTTACCGTTTCTATTTTTTAACCCAAGTATTTAATTTCAATCATAGAGGCAGTTCGTTTGATCGTCGACTGCAGGCTCGTATCCAGGAAATGGAGACTGATGATAAAGACAGACAACGTGAGATGGAGGAGATCGAAGAAATACGAAAGAGACTGGGAGATAGGGCCATTGAACCTGAGGAAGAACTTATGGTATGGGGAAATATCTGTTTCAATATTTATAAATTATAATTTTTTTCCAGGGGGTTATGCCTGTCTGTCATGAAGGTACTGTAACTACGAAAAATCAAATATTTTTATACGAAAATTTGTGGAGCTAATGGCCATATGTCCAAGGACAAATGTGTCATTAAACACCAAATAATAATAATAATTATTATTCATTGTACTGTGTTCTCGGGTTTTCATTGGCTAAGAGCCTACAAATAATTTTGGGTATTTGTAGGTGCCTGCGCTATTTCCAGCGGAAACAGTAATCTGCAGAGGTTATTGGACGGCGCCCGAGATATTTCAGCGGTATTTTATGTGAAAATACAAATTGGCGGGAAATTTTTAGTTGAATTTACGAAAAGTTAATCAATTCAATGAATATTTATTTGTTTTCAATTGTTGCTTGTTTTGTTTTCTTTCTGTCACAAAATGAATAATAAAACAATTATTTAATTCGGCTTGCGCAGGATACCAAAATTATTCAGACCTCGGTCAATGTTATCTGCCTCAGCCTTCGGCTTCGGCAGATAACATTGACCTCGGTCTAAATAATTCTGGATATCCTGCTCAGGCTCATCCAATAATTGTTAATAATAATATTTTGGTTCAATTTGGATAAAAATTGCTGGTGGAGATAATACGAGATATGCAGTCTCTGAATGTCCTGTAGTTATTCAACGATGATGTTTACCACGTATTTTTCAAATATCATGAAATAAATCCTATATCGGCCCAACGCATCGCAACGTGTAAACATAGCTTGAAGGAACTCTCGAGGTGAACTCTATATGAAACTGCGGATTGATAGGGATACAACTACCTGAAAAGAATTCAAGGAGAAGGGCCCTTCGTCGGAAAGTTAGTAGTGGCTACTAGCTGGTAGTTTTCATTCTTATCAATCCTTATTACTGGCGCTACCTACACTCGCACAGACCGTTCCAGATGAACTCTATATGTTTTTCTTTTAGGAGGAAGAACCAGAACCGCAGCCAGAACCTGAGCCTGAACCAAGACCAACCTTACAAGCAACATTCAAACCTGCCGTTGCTCCAGTAAGTACTAGTTTTATGACAGGATGCATATTTATGTGGAGGACAGGGATGTGCTGGATACTGGTATCCGGCAAAATATGAACATCCGGTAAAATTTGCCGGATAGTACTGGAACTTTTATTATAACCACAAAACCGTCTGTTTTGCATTAAGATATTGTGAAACACTAACAACTAGTATACCGGACATGTGACACAACGAAATTACAGTTAAATTTTTTTGTGATGTAAACTGCTCTCTTTTGTATATTGTCTGACACCCCTTGAGCCACATACTAAACAGACAACGGACTATTTTATGACAAAAAGTTAGTGACGTATTGTCCAAGTACCACCATCAGTATCCGGTTATTATCCGGTAGACTACTATCTGGTACCATCCGATATCCGGCAACAGGGTTGCAAAAAAGCTGCGGGTATGCAGGTACCACCCGCGAGGAAGGTTTACCATATGTGAGGTCAGCAAGGAAGGTTTAATTAATGTGAGTGCAATACAATCAACCAGCTGATCAATGCTAAATACTAGTCAGCAGGAAAAAGGAATATGAAGCCGATTTGGAATGACATAATTGATATATTTTGCAATTTGAAAAAAAAATTTGAAACTTGAAATTTTACCCGGAGGAAAGGTTGAACATTTTTTGCCACTCTGTCTGGCAAAGCAGTATCCGGTACATCCCTAGTTGCCGTGAACTTAGAAACGTTAAAATGTAATTTTTGGTTTCACCAGGTTGAATCAGCTCCGAAAGTGGCTTCGCCAGTATTACAATATAATTCACCTAAAAACGTTCCTGTTGTAAGTCAAAACCACAAACCAATAGCGCCAGAACAACAACAAAGCGAGGTCGATGGTGCTGAAGTTGCACAGAAGAAAACTTTCGTCTTTGAAATGAAAACAAAAGGACATGTCGTAAGTACTTGTATATGAGATTTTTCATTCCCAAAGACTTCTACTGATCTATGGAATAATTACCAATTGAAAGCGATGTTTAAAGACCATGTAAAGTCCGTAATGTAAACAATCGCTTTGTTTACATTTTAAACTCAGTGCTACAGCCTACAGTTGTAAAATATGATTAGATATATATTATACTGAATTTTTCACACTCTTGTGGTTCGCTATGCTTGAAAATGAATACAGACTAGAGATTCAATTCAAGACAGTTAAAAAGATACGAAATATTAATAACATTCCAACGGTCGGGTCCCGACCATTGGAATGTAAGCCTGCGCAGAACGGGACTTTACATGGTCTTTAACAAAATTCTAATAAGAAATGGCCTTCAGAATGAAATCGTCCCGGTTTGAATTGTAAAACTGGGCCTTTGTTTGATTTACTGAATTCCAATGGAGGCCAACACGAGAGGATTTTAGCTAACTAGACTTCTGGGGAAAACAGTTTAGAACTGATCTTTTTAGTGCACACATCTGATTCAATCCAAATCTATGTTCGGCTATCGACTTAAGTACTCATTTTGTTTTAGGGTTCAGCAAATTCGAACAGAAAGAAACTCGAGGCTGTGTTTAACAGCGAAGAGGACTCGTCCAATACTCAAACTCCAAAACGTAAGCTTGTACCTCTAGATTATTCTGAGGAGGAAAAGAAAGCGGTTGCTACAGCTAAGAGTGCGGAACAGAAGAAGAAAAGTATTAAGTCGCTTATAGAGAGAATTCCCACTGCTAAAAATGAACTTTTTGCTTATCCACTCGACTGGGAGTGTGTTGACCAGGTATGGTATTGGTTGTGTTACGCGTGATAGATATTTGTAGGTTGTTGTATGTTTATGTGGTTAGTGTTGCCTTCGTTTCATTGTTGTTGCTGCTGCTGCTGTTGTTGTTGTTGTTGCTTTGTCATTGTTTGATTGTTAGTGTTGTTACTGTTACTTTCGTTGTTGTTATCGTTATTTTCATTGTTACATCCACTCCTGTTGTTGCTCTTGTTGTAATTGTTGTTTATTGCTGTCGTTGTTTATGTTGTCATTGTTGTTTATGTTGTTGTTGTTTTCGTTGTTATTTGTTCTTTTGCTATTGTCTTTGACTCTTCGTTGTCGCTTTGTTGGTGTTGGTGGTGTTGTTGTTTTTTGCTGCAATATGCTATTGTCGTTGGTTTGTCCTCATTGTCCTCGTCCTAACAGTTAAATTAGTTTAATAAGCCTCCGTCAATACTGACTCGCCATAAACCTTGAATACGCTGCCAATGTTTAAACAGTATAATCGCGTTAAACATGAATGGAACACGAAGATTGGGAGTCTCGTTTGGTTGACAGCAAAATGAGGTAACAAAGCGCAAAATATGCAAACCAGTCTTCCTGCAAATTATTTTACCTTGCGTCTCTAGCTTCGGTAGATTGAACCTTACAGGGCGAAAAGTTCTCCGAGGTATGTATGCAGTGTGTTGAGAAATCACACACTATAATACTGTAGGTGTTCTGTGTTGTGTTACCATGATGGACTCATGTTGTTGGGTTATTTTCTTTAGAATTTAATAGATCGTAGAATAAGACCTTGGGTCAATAAAAAAATCGTGGAATACATCGGGGAGGAAGAACCTAGTCTTGTTGATTTCATGTGCACTAAGGTATAGTTGTTTAAATGTTTATTTCTTTTACTTCTGTCAGGTGCGAAGGCTAAAGGCCAGACTAAGCAACGCATAACAAATTTCACTGTGATCTATCATTTAACCTTTCCCAAGGGGAGGTGCATGATTTTTCAGGGGAGGTGCATGATTTTTCAGGGGAGGTGCAAAATATCTCAGGGGAGGTGCATAACGATCTCAGGGGAGGTGCCCACCTCCCCACGCCTCTCCTCAAAATCTAGACTTGCTCCAAGTCTCTCTTTCATTGTGATATATATTATCGACCGAAAATGCAAGACTTGCTTTAATTGTTTTCTTTCAGTGTTTATATGTATTGATCTAGCACAGTGTAAATAACATGAGTTCCATTATAGTAAATAATACAGAAAGGAGGAATTGAAGGAAAACAATTAAAGCAAGTCTTGCATTTTCGGTTCAGTTTTGAACCGAGATTTTCCGAAGTTGACAAGTCTCTCTTTCTCGCTCCGCCTCTCCGTGCTACGTCATGTAATGTACACTATAGTTGATCGATATGACAATGCAAGAGAGACTTGGAGCAAGTCTACTCAAAATCCGGCCATGCAATGGTGTGCTTCTTCGACATCCCCCCCCCCCTGCAGTAACATTGGACAGGATCGCCAATGTTGTGATATTTAGGGAGGACAGTTAGAACTGATAAAGAAAGTTAGTTTAGTGCTTTGTAAAAATTCTCCTCACTTGAAAAGTTCATGTCATGTTTTTTCTAGCTCCTAGCACGAAGTGCACCGAACAACATTCTTCATGATGTTTCGATGGTAAGATCTTCTACGGCCTCAGGGTGTTAGCTACAGTAAAAAATTCGGCGTTATACGCCGTTTTCACAATTACATTTAGCCAGTAGTCTCGCATTGCTCAAGAAAAATTGGGTACCAGATAAGTGTTGGGAGGATGTCATGACTTGCACTTCAAAAGTTTCAATTTAGCTCAGCAGGCGCTTGGCGGCCTTGGCCACGAGAACGTCATTTAAGAAACACGATATTCCTTAACTCCTGTCTGAATGTCGCAGGCTAACTGAAATTCTCAATTTCATTAAATTGGCAATTCCAGCTTTTAGTTTATGCGTGCAGGGGACGATGGGAAGTAAGGTATCACATTGCTGATTATGCTGAAAAAAATAAAAATGGTGGCCGTGTAAACACGGAGTAATAGCTTATACTTGTAAATATTGAAATATTTCGGTTGTTTCGGTAGTTTTTATTGAAATTTTTCAGCATAATCAGCAATATGATACCTTACTTCCCATCATCCCCTGCAGGCATAAACTAAAAGCCTGGAATTGCCTATTGCCGATTTTTTTATTCTTCTGGCTAACACCCTGGGCCTTTATTCATTTTATACTAAAGTGGGTTGGGTTTCATCAAATAATAAGTAAGAAGTCTGTCTGAACATGGCCTATCGAAGGGAAGATGGCTGTGAAACTCATTAGAATAACAATATAACTCATCTATGTTAGTCAACGTTTATTCATAAATACGGTCCTTCACCGTCACGTGTGTATTGTATTTTTGCCAAATCCACCAGTAGCAATTTCCAATTTACCCTATTGTTCAAGTCACAGATTGGTAACCTTCCTAAAACATTGCTATTGGTTAGTTGGGCAAAAATACAATACACACGTGACGGTGAAGGACCGTATAATTGTCGTATTTATGAATAAACGTTGACTAACATAGATAACCATTAATTTGACACGATCATGTTTAAAGCTACAAGCTAGCTTGTATTGTCGTATTATACTCAGAGTAACATCAGCCGAAAAAAAGAGCAACGTTTTTATTCTGATCTTGTTAGGTTCTGGACGACGAAGCGGAGGTATTTGTTGTTAAGATGTGGAGACTTCTTATTTATGAAACCGAGGCAAAGAAAATAGGATTAGTTAAGTAGATATCATTATTTTCTATATACACACACCATGGTCTATTCGTTAGTTCGTTTCGTGTGCTGTTGTTGTCTATAAGGCGCACGCTGCAAACGGGATAACACGCAAGGAAATATGATGATTTTCAAATGTTTCCACATGAAACAATTTACCCTAGTTTGCCAGGGTTGACCGTGGATAGTTAAAAGAGTGCTTTTATTATCCATGGGTAACATAATTATGCATAAATTCCGTATGTATAAATTCCGATTCACAAATCCTGCCCAAAATCAGTTTATTGGTCTAGTGCATTTGCAAGAGCATGTTGCGGTGAAATATTTGTATTTGACCATTTTGTATTCAGGAGAATATTTTTGATGCAGTACGTCACTATACACTTGTAGTTGTATGGTAATTGTAAACAGCATTGCATGAATTAGCTCTTCTTGCCAATACGGTTTTTGCAAATGAAAGACAGTAGATTGTGTATTTAAAACGACTTTGTTAAAATTCCAGTGCTTTTATTGAAGAATAAAACCAGAGTTTCGCTCTTAAAAGTTATGATTACAATTTTTTCTTAGAGTTTTTGTCCTCTCTTGTGCGTAGTTCGACTTCCATAATAACTTGTACCAAACAGTATGTGACCATAGCAAGGCATAGTGGCGTCCATACTCCGCCTAAATCAATAAAAAAATTAGACAAAGGATTAACCGATCTCAGAAATCGCCTATGATAATTGCCCATAGATATGAATGCCGATTTGAAGTCCTAAGACTAAAGATCAAAATTGGGTCCACGGTAATTGGCTTTGCCGTTGTAGGCAAAGTTTAAAGAGGCGGTCAAGTCCGTTCAGCGTATGTGAAGTTTGTTTACATTTTGAAGACACTATATTCATAAAATATAATGCACTTAGTCAATATCTAACATCGTTTTGGTTTGCTTTACTTTTAAATGAATATAGATTAGACTTTCAATTTAGAAGATATCGACACAACGCGAAATTTGGACATTGTTTACACCATAAGGTCCTCCATAGCGCATGCGCAGAATAGACTTGACCTTCATCTTTAATAAAATTTCAGTTCGTGTCAATTTCAAAATATTACATAAAATACAATACCTTTAATAAATACAGCTTTGAGGTAGGCCAGCACAGACTGGTGACCGACAAGGAAGGCACAGTTACTTAGTATGCCTGCGATGATCGTAAAAACACCACCCATAGCATGAAGACGTCTCGTCGCGGATGGCGAGAGAATATCGTACTAAAATATTTAAAATAATGTTGTTTTCTGGGTGTTTATACATGGGCTGTTGGTCGCACAGTATTGGATGAATGTGTCATTCACCTCTGCGATCGGAAACAATTCCTGTATTGGACAGTTGTTTACAGGGCTATCGCGCTTAATCTCTCTAGAGTGGGCAGTTTCGATAAAGGTGATAGTCTAAGAGCTATCTAGTATAAATAAACTTAGTTTAGCTTAGGTTTCCTCCTGTAGAAACATTGCACCAGGGGACAGCGCTTAATGGACCTCTAGGAAGAACTTGAACCTAATAAGAGCTATCCAAAGTTGTAAGACATTAAGTTCAACACTTACCTCTAAATGCTGTAATGTTTTAGTCTTCAATAATTTGGCAGCCATGGCTTCTATAAACACACCAAGCCACTGTGAAACAGCCCAGTATAAAAGATAATCATATGCGCCATGCCAGTAATATACGTAAGCAAACGTTGCCATGGAACTAATCAGTTGTCTAAAGATACCATGCTTGGAGCCGCCAAGTGGTTTGTAAATATATCTGCAACAGAAAAACTAGGATATGACGGATATGTTCATAGTATTGCTACTAGCTAAATTAAACACTGAGTCTTGTGAAACGTTGCATGCGTAAACAATATTTTGTAGCCATGTTTTCTGAAGACCAAGAAACATTGTCAATAAGTGTACATTGTCATATAAGTGTAATATTTGTCAATAAGTGTACATTGTCATTCACGTGAAAAGTTCAACTCTTACTTCATAAGCCAATGATGTAATCCTTTGTCAAATGTTCTATACAAAGAAAAAAAAACGATAGCGGTTAGTAGGACATTGCCACCAATACCTCCATATCATAGAATATAAAATGGAATCAAGTTCGGGCCTATACTCGGCTATAGCCAGGGGGTTACCAGCATACCAATATACTCGATAATACTGGCTCAGTATACCAAAGTATACCTAAAATTCCCGGGTAAATGTAGGATACTTTATACATGCTTTTCCACTTAATTTACCAGTAAAATACTGTATAGCAAAAGTAAAATGGTCAAAATACCCTGGCCGGACCTGCAAGTTAACCCATTTATTTATTGCATTAATTCACTTATTCACCAATAGCGACGCCATCTTGAATCATGATGCATTATGGGTTATCCAGGGTAAAAATCCGAATTCAAAAAGCCTTTAATGTCGTATTGAGACACAATACGATAATTTTTTTTCATAAACACTTTCTTGAGGACAATGAGGCAGTGTAAATCAATTTTATGCGCACTTTGTTGAAATTATTTCCCTTTTTAGGCCTAACAAAGATTTAAACTATACATTTTATCCTCATTTTTTTATTTTTCCCAGCTTTTGTGTGTTTTCCTAGTTCTTCTAAAAATTGTCTGTTATTTACAACTATAAAAACGTGTGTTTTCGCCTACATATTTGATTTACAGCCCTTCAAAAACGCTCAATTACCCTGGATCACCCATAATGCATTGCGTTGAACGCGAAATTCAAGATGGCGTCGCTATTGGTGAATAGGTGAATTGTACTTACTTCCACATAACGGGAAACGAATAAATGTTCAGAACGCATTTCGGTATATCAGGTGGTGATATCCCATCCAGTCTCGAGTACATCCCAGCAATTCGATAAAACACGACATATTTGATAGAGAATAGCAACAGTAGTATATACACAAGTCCTGTTGACATTAATACTGGTACGTTCTCTATGAGATATGGGTCGCGTGCCAGTGAATTGATATACAGGACGTGTGAGCCGAGTTCCATAACTGTAAACCAAAACAACGTTCTGATGGCATCCCATAGGAAGGAAGCTCGAACTTCTTTTGAGAGCGGTCTTGGTGGCTTGTTGACCTAAGATTGAATTGAAACATTAATATCGAACGGTGCCTTCCACTGGCTTCACCCATCATATATATATATATATATATATATATATATATATATATATATATATATATATATATATATATATATATATATATATATATATATATATATATATATATATATATATATATATATATATATATATAGTTCTTCGCGAAATGTCGCCATCGAGAAAAATTCAGCGCCTGGAAATTCGAACGCGCGCGAACAAACAAGTTAACGCGTCAGCGAACGGTTGATGATGATGCAATCACGTAATCAGTAACAAAATCGTGAACAAAATCGCCTGATGATCGTCTAGAAAGGACGTGAAACTCAGAGTAGCGATATTTAATTTTAAGATATAGACAACCTATATATATATATATATATATATATATATATATATATATATATATATATATATATATATATATATATATATATATATATATATATATATATATATATATATATATATATATATATATATACACATGAATTTGTGGTTCAATGTGGACCAACTGTCTCTCTAGCTCAGTTGGTTAGAGCGCTGCACCGGAATCACAGGGCCTCATGTTCGATTCCTGCCAGAGGACCTACAAATGCGCGTGTATTTGTTACTGTTACGAAAGTTAACTAAATATGATGTAATATTTCAAATCCAACTATGAGGAGTGGACCAGATTTTAAGTCCGCGCAATTTGATCCAGTCCAAGCGAAGCCGAATCTAGTCCAGTCAGGGCCGTCCTCAGAGAATTCTTCAGGGGGGTGTAAGGTCATTTCAACCGACTAGTGCCGAAAAAATTTTCCAGAACAAATTATTTTTGGCGACCTCCCCCCGTCGCCAAAAAAATTTCGGTCTGTACCATTTTAGGGAAACAAAAATTTTTCCGGACATACCAAAATTTTTCGGAACATGAAAAAAATTTTCCAGACATCACAAATTTTCTCAATTTTTCCAACCCTATCTTGCCCTTTGCGCGAAAATATTTAACCCAAATAGCAGTTCTACCGACTGAATAGCAGTCCTGCCGACTGAATACAATTTCTGGGGGGGGGTCCCCCACACCCCCCGTAGCTCCGGGCCTGAGTCCAGTCCGAATTGGAGGATTTGATATGACATCTCGTACGACTAAAGCCCCGTTTACACTACACTCAATTTTTGGTACGGCACGGATAAAATTGGTACCCGTACCACTTTTTTGGTTCTTGGACTACCTATTTAGCTAAGCCCCGTTTATACTACGCTCAATATTTGGTACCGTACCACATTTTGGTTCTTGGACTACCTAAATAGGTAGTCCAAGAACCAAAAAAGTGGTACGGGTACCAATTTTATCCGTGCCGTACCAAAAATTGAGCGTAGTGTAAACGGGGCTTTAGTCACTACTTAAAGTGAAGTGAATTAATTTTGATCCAGTCCAAGGACTGAATTAATTTTGATCCAGTCCTAGGACTGGACCATTATATCCAGTATTGTCATATAAGCAATATGGTTGGCTAATTTACTCATGAATTATTGAGTTTGAAATTTTTATATGATGATTAAGTAAGCAAAGCAGGGACGCCGGAACTGGGGGGGGGGCAGGAGGGGCAGCCGCCCCCGTTGCCCTTTACCAGGAGGGGCAAGGAGGGCAAAGGTGCCCTTTCAATATAAAGGATCGCCTTGGCGAAATAGCGAAATGACAAAATGTTAGTGCAATTCTTTTACGAATTTGCTTCAGAAAACGCAACGGAAATGCAGTCATCGAGCTTCAAGAATAGCACAATCGCCTGGTGGAGAACCCCATCACACCCCTATCATCCAATAAATAGAAAATATGATTAGGCAAAGTTCAACTCCCGATGTTTTGCAAACATCTCTTAGTATATATCCATCATAAGTGCCCTTTCACGAAAATCTGCCCCCCTTGCCTTCACATCGTTCCGGCGTCCCTGAATCAAAGTAAAGTTACATACATGCATTAGCATATACCTGTTTGTAAAATTCATCATAAAGTACTACTGGTCCATTACAAAATAATGGTAAATAAAAATTATATCCCAGTAAATCAATAAAGCCATATTTGACTTCGTCTTTATCCTCATTGCCATTGGCGTCGCCTTTATCTTTCTTTGCGCCTGATAAACAACAATCCAGACAGAAACTCATTCCTCTCAATTGACACATGAGGGATGTAAAAAGAACGAAATCACCTTCATTTGTGTCCTTACTGAATGCGTAAAACTACAAAGACAAATAAGAAGTTGGATAGATTTAATCATGCATTGCATTTTTGTTGACCATTTTATTGTTTTATACTGCATTTGCCATTATTCAAATTGGATCCAAGATTGGATTTTCATCATGTGTTGTGTTCTATTCTATTCAATTGTTTTGTTTTATATTGTATTCTATTCCATTCACATTTTACTCTATTCTATTCTAAATACCGATTCGAAAAGTAGTTGTCATTCTTTTTTCTTCCGAAATTAATTTCAAACAAAGTAATCACTGCCCCCTTCAGTATACTTAAAGACCAACAGAGTATAAATACAATACCATGTGTTCTGTTTAAGAAATTAAATGTTAAAAATACCGGAATTTGTACTAGATTTAGCAAACAAGCCTGACTTGCCTCATTTTGCACATTTCAAAGGGCTATGTAATTTCGTTGCTTGAGGTTTAAAAATTGTTGAAAAATTGTTTATTAGCCTGGTAATGCATAAAATGTAAAACAATGCAAAATTGTAGCTACAATCTTGGACAAAACATCTGCGACACTTCCAATTACTTGACAAAATGTCGTAATATTATCATAAATTTAGAAAACTTCCCCCTTGCCCCCACCATTCAATGTTGATTGCATTCTTAGAATACGGATAAAACGTCCAACATTGTTTTGGGGGTGGGGGGCAAACGAGTAAATTATTCCAGTCTAACTGGTAAAACAAGCCACAAAGGAATGTTTTAATAGAGTGAGTGTCGCAGATGGTTTTGTCCAGGACTGTAGTTTTTGAATCGGTTAATTGTATTCATTGTACTGTATAAATTACGGAAACCACTGGCACTGAGCATTTTTACAAAATATAAGACAAAGGTGTTAAATAAAACTGTAGTGCAAACCAACCTGCAAATGCATTAGCCTATCAACTGAAATAAACGACACTAGGAGTGCCAATCCCACGAACCAACAAAACAAAGTTGATCTTGTCCTTCCAGCAATGTAGTAAAGCACGTTATGTGCCACAAATACCAGCGTTGGTTTCCAGCCAATACTTATAGATAGAAATCCCAATTGAAACATTGCAAAAAATAACATTCGGTGCTAAAAAGCATAGTTATGTAAAAAGGAAGATTACTTAAAATGTTTTTTGAAAAACAAGGGATGATGACAACTGATGAAAATATATAGGTAATTTTCACCATAGACATTCAAAGGAATGTCTTGGTGTTTTCACCAAAGAAGTTTTGGTACTACTTTTTAACGATCTTATCGTTTCTTAAAATTTGTTGGGTAGCTACCTGTGGGTATAACCAAGACACCAAACGGTTGCCAAATGAATGCAGTGATGATGCTATTACAAGATTTCTAAATTGACCAGCCCAAAATTGCCATTCAAAATCTGAAGTATCCTGCCAAATATTTCAATTGATATATTATATATACTCTACAATTTATAACCATTCTGGTAATTAAGTTTATGTGTAACATCAAGACCAAATTCATAGGGAATAACAACACCATGCACTGCCATCGTGATTATTGTACCACCATTGGCATTGTCCTTTCATGGTGGTTATTATACCATCATTTTCCTGTCATCATGCTTATTTAATACCACTATTGTGATAATCACCAATGTACCACTATTGTGTCATCACCAATGTAACTATCATTGCCAACACCATACCCAATAATTTTCTAAGCCATTTACGGATAACTGATGAACAAAGTATAAGCCATACCACTTTGCTACCATGAAAGGAGATGTTTTATGTTAAATGTTTTGAGCAATGAAATTTGCAGCAAAAGGTAGGTAGAAATATGTTGGGAGGTACATCAAGAAGATGCAAACTTCATCACTTTGTCATCCTTGCTCAGGGCCCCCCAAATTATTTGGGTGGGGCCCCTGGCTTGAGCCATTGAAGAATTTTTTAGAATGATTGACATTTAACCAACCCTCTTTCTTCCTAAAAATGTCCATCCATCATCAAAATCTTCTGAGTACAACTTCTCAGGCTCTTCTATAAGAATTATTAGGACTGAATGTTGCAAATGTGTAGGGTGGGAGAGGGGGGCTATCCTAGTACCAATATTAAATGCACTGATTTAACCACACACCCCTGTGGACGAAGTCAATAAAATTTGAACCCCGGCACTTGCCAACACAAACACCCCTTCAGAAATTTAGAAATTTTTGCCTTACCCCTCGGAAAAAACGCAATGATCAAAGGATGCCGATGCACACAACCCCTCAGAAACGGCTTTTTCAAACCCCCTCGGAAATTTTTGTCCACAGGGGAGGGGGTGTATATTAAATGGAATGGCCCTGGGCAGATAGTCTGGCCCATTGTGGGCCAGTGTTCTCGGCATTGCAGAGTAAAATAATAAAGTAGGGCACATTTAATATAGGGTGAAATGCAACTTTAATTTGGTCCAAACATATTTCAATCAATTTTACTTTGTTATCTCGAACTCTGTTTGTTTGTTTGTTGTTTGTATGACAGTGAACTAGTTCCCTATCTCAAACCACAGCGACACAGAATGACAGCGAGCCCATGGCAGCATGGCTCTCAATATATATGCTCATTACAACTCATTGTATGTAAATACTCTGAGCTCCTCAACACTGAGCTATATATTACACATGTAATGCTATTATAATAAGACCCAGAGTGGGCTCCCTGTGTCTCGAACTCTGTTGTTTTTATTAATAGGGGAATATATTATATATACACATTTGATTCTGTAGCGTAAACATGCAGGTAAAACGGACTAGAAATGCACTGTTTAAGTTTAAAATATCCACAGCCCAATGGACACAATTATGTTGACAGTGTTATGTTATATTTCACAAATAGAACTTTAAAAGCTGTATCAATGCCACGACAAGTCGACAACATGTAATAATTATCGAATTAAATTATTACGTAGCTATTTTTGTAATTTGACACCGATTCCGATAGCGGGGTTCTCTCTACTGTATATATACACAACTATAAACAAACATAAACTTACCTAACGGAAATAGAAAAATTTTATACACAGCCGTCGCCAGGAAATACGAATAGACGCAGAAATAAACAAACTTCTCGATAAAAGACAACTCTGCTTCCGCACCGATCTTTGCTCTCACGATTTCGTGATTTTTGACCTTCGTATTGTTGTCAACGGCGTTGCCGTTTCTAGCAGTTTGAAAACTGAGCTTTTCTTTTTGTTTAATCCCCATAACTGTAAAACGCTATAGTCCGTTAGAACGAATTATAAATATATTAAAAGCCATCTAAATAATAGAACCTGTATACTATAATCTCACTATTAATTAAACCACCCGTAGCCTGGAGGACTTCCTTCTTCCAGGTAAGGTTAATTTGAGGGCGGTGTTTATTGGAGAGGAGGCTTGAATAAGAGGGGGGCTTATTTATTTGATCTGTAAAATTGGTGTGAAGAAAATCGATCAATCTTTATATCAAAATACATGTGATTTTGTATTAATAGGGGTGAGGGCTTAATAGGGGGCGGGGCTTAATAGAGAGGGGGCTTAAATTTCTTCATCTTGAAAAGTAGGCTTGTCAGAGAGGGGGGCTTATTTGAAAGGGGACGTTTAATAGAGAGATTACGGAATGTGTACAAAAATTACTGCATGAACCGTGGTTAAAAATCTTTTCATAGAGCAAAACTTCATATATTTTGACTAGCTTGTTTCAATATAAGGGGTTTTGAGTTCCGCAAAGGTCAGCCCACGTTAGGTTACACGCACAGGTAACAGTAATATAAATATCGATGTATTGTATAGTATAATTTATTCTTTGTACTAAACCCACTGTGTTCGAAACCTCGAGCGCTAAATCATCATATTAGTTTCATACGAGGAAACATTAAACCCGTTTTCCACTAGGCGAATTAGTTCTCGCAAAGCGAAAAATAAATCTTGGCAATGTGATTGGTCAGCGAAAAAATTGGATCAGTTCCTACTTTTTCCTACTTTTATACTTTTTATGCCTGTAAATATCAAAATAGTGCGAGGGCCGTATGTTAGATAACTTTTATGGTTAATACGTTTTCCCTCGTGAAATAAAGTTCGTCTAGTGGAAAATGGGCTTTATGGCCGTTTTCCACTAGGCGGAATTTTGCGCACGGAGAGGAATTTCTCTTGTCTTTTCTAATTAGTTCCACCCGAGAAATATAAGACAAAGAAAAATTCCGCTCCCGCCTAGTGGAAAACGGCCTTCAGTTTCATACGAGGAAACGTTCTTCATTGCCAAAGTCAGTATATGACTACTGTAATTGCAAGACCATGTTACGATAATAATTGCAAGTATTTACATTTGACCATTTTGAATTCACGAGAGTATTTTTTACAATGCAGTGCATCATTACACTTGTACAGTACTTGTACTGTAAACAGCATTACATGAATCAGCTCTTCTTAGGAATAAGTTGAGATTGTGTATTCAAATCAATTTTATTGAATAAAACCAGAGTTTCGCTCTTAAAAAATTATGATTACAAATTTTTCTTGGAGTTCTTGTCCTCTTTTGTGCGCAGTTCGACTTCCATAATAACTTGTACCAAACAGTAAGTGACCATAGCAAAGCGTAGTATTGTCCATATTCCACCTAGATCAATAAAAACATGGACATAGCATTAGCCGGTTACGAAAATCGCCCGCTGGATTCCGCTCGACAGGATTTAATTTCATGCAAGAAGACGATGATCCTGGGGACAAGGTTGTCATGCACCTTGAATTGGAACAATCGAAATCCCGTCCAGTCCTCATTTTCGGATTACATACAATACCTTTGATAAATACAGCTTTGAGGTAGGCCAACACAGACTGATGACTGACAAGGAAGACACAGTTACTCAGTATGGCTGCGACGATCGTAATACCACCACCTATAGCATGAAGACGTCTAGTTGCGGATGGCGAGAGAATATCGTACTAAAAGATTTAAAATAATGTTGTTTTCTGCTTTCTGAGTGTTTACATATATGGGCTGTTGAGTGTTGGTCACACAGTATTGAGTTAATATGTCATTCACGTCTGCGACTGGAAATCAATAGCTGTAGTACGTATGCCAGAGGACAGCTGTCTCAGTAAATAATTTCGTCTTACCAAAACCGTATGTTTTCTCCAGGAAATTCAGTTTCTGGATCTCTAGGGTTGGCAGGTTCGAAAAAGGTGATAGTCTATGAGCTAGGAGGAAACCTAAACTCATTTATACTGGATGCATGTAGAAGCATTGAAGCATTCTGCCTATACGCAGGCAGCCGAGAAGCCCTGGGAACGAGGATGAGTTTGAACCTGACAGAGCTATCCGAAGTTTTAAGTTCAACACTTACCTCTAAATGCTGTAATGTTTTAGTCTTCAATAATTTGGCAGCCATGGCTTCCAAAAACACACCAAACCACTGTAGAACAGCCCAGTATAAAAGATAATCATATGCGCCGTGCCAGTAATATACGTAAGCAAACGTTGCCACGGAACTAATTACTTGTCTAAAGATACCATGCTTGGAGCCGCCAAGTGGTATGTAAATATATCTGGAACAGAGAAAACTAGGGTATGAGGGATATGTGTAAAGTATTGCTACTAGCTAAATTCTTATTTCACTACTTTGTTAGGAAACATTGTCAGTTTAAGTGGAAAGTGCAACACTTACTTCATAATCCAATGATGTAATCCTTTGTCAAATGTTCTATACATTGAAAAACGCTAGCAGTTAGTAGGACATTATCATAACCAAATGATGGAAAAACTAAACTAAACTAACTTTATTAATATTGTATATGGATAGCTGTCATTAGTTCTGTTACTACAGTAGAGGGGGAACCCAATACTAAACTGGATCTTATAGACCCATTGCACATGACGTCACAGCGCCGGTGATGATGCATCTGGAGAACAAATTAGCAATTAATTTAGTGTAAATTAACTTTATAATAATTTTGTATCAAAATGGTTAGTTTTTGCGCTGTATGTGGTTGTTGTACCCGAACAGATATTGTTAGGGAGCATCTGGAGGACACACTAAAGATTTGTGACGTCAGTGCAAAGGGTCTATACTGGATAGCTCTGACCAAGATGCAACCATAGGGATAGCTCTGACCAAGATGCAACCATAGTCTGTCAAGAAATGATGGTCTGGAAACTTAAAACTGTGTGATATGTTTTATGCACGGTCACAGTACGTGATTGAGCTCATTTTCGTTTTATGAAGTAATCGTCCAGTATGGATAGCTGGGATGAAACGTGCAACCACGTTGAATAATATTTGAGACAAATGATTTGTGCAAGCGTAGACAATCCAGAAGACATTCACATGTCAGACATTCACATGTCAGACATCCACATGTCTTCTGGATTGTCTATGGTGCAAGGTGAGGTACACTTCAACATCAGACAAAGGCCTTCTATTTTGTTATCAGACAGAGTTAACCCACTAGTTTTTAAGTAGATTCATAATCTACCGCATTATACTTACTTCCACATAACAGTAAACGAATAAATGTTCAAAACGCATTTCGGAATATCAGGTGGTGATATACCATCCAGTCTCGAGTACATCCCAGCAACTCGATAGAACACCACATATTTGATAGAGAATAGCAACACAAGTATATACATAAGTCCTGTTGACATTAATACTGGTACGTTCTCTACGAGATATGGGTCGCGTGCCAGCGAATTGATATACAGGAAGTGATAGCCGAGTTCCATAACTATATACCAGAACAACGTTCTGATGGCATCCCATAGGAAGGAAGCTAGAACTTCTCTTGAGAGCGGTTTTGGTGGCTTGTTGACCTAAGATTGAATTGAACCATCAATACCGAGTACTTCTTCTTTAGTATTAAAATGGTCTGCCATTAGACACCGCGTGAAATAACAAGGCGCAATCCTGGCGCACTTAACAAGTTTGGCAAAATAAGAAAGTAAGGAGCATCAGGGCGCATTGCTGCTTGATGAGTCCAAAATAGCCATACTGTTGTCAACCCATCTGGATCGTCTTACAAAGTATGGTACATTGCGCTTAATAAGTTTGACTAATGAATAATTAGTTAATTACCAACTTTCATGACGCCTGTTATACTGCAGCGGCCAGTTCAAACTGGATTAGGTTAACACTGAATTTAACCTGCTGTTGTGCTTTTCTGTATGTCCGTTTATTTGAAAACTTTACAAAAAAACACTTCTGACATAATTTCTGGAAAAATGTTTTTATGTTTATAAAGAAGCAGTTTGCAAGATTGCACTGAAGGTTTTTCGTTAACCTAGGAGTAAGCTAGCCGGCTTTCCAACAACCAACCAGCCACAGGATATATCAATTCTAAACTGTTCTTCCTTGATGTCAATCCTTATTAGACTGGTAGCAAAATTTCGCGTGACTTCGATAAAATGGGTCAAATTAAGACTTAGCATGCAACAACAAGTTTTTAATTGTAAAAATAGGTACGCAAATGCGTACACATGTCACAGTTGACCGTTCCATTAACGGCCTTGGCGTGGCTGAATAACTGAATGTGATTTTTATATGATTAACATATCAAAGTAAAGTGAAAGTAAAGTTATATATACCTGTTTGTAAAATTCATCATAAAGTACTACTGGTCCATTACAAAATAATGGTAAATAAAAATTATATCCCAGTAAATCAATAAAACCATATTTGACTTCGTCTTTATCCTCATTGCCATTGGCGTTGCCTTTATCTTTCTTTGCGCCTGATAAACAACAATCCAGACAGAAACTCATTCCTCTCAATTGACACATGAGGGATGTAAAAAGAACGAAATCGCCTTCATTTGTGTTCTTACTGAATGTGTAAAACTATAAAGACATATAAAAGATGGATATATTTAATCATTATACATATTCACCATTTTATAACTGTATTGAACTGTAGTTTCATCGTATTGCGTTATTTGTATTGCATCATCACATTATATTGCATTGCATTGTATTCTATTGTACCTTTTATATAATTGTATTGTATTCTGTTGAATTGTATTGCGTTGTACGTGTTGTGTTGCAGTATGTACTATTTACCGACAAACTTGAGCTGAAATTCAAGGCGAGAGTTTGTATATCCGATACAACACACCGAACATGGGCGGACGCGAATGTTGTAAATATATAAGCTTGTGAAACGTCTTGATGAGAACATTTTAAAATAAATGAATGAGATATTTGGTGAGAAAATTGAACTTAAAAGTTTATGTAAATCAGCATGAATTAGTATCAGATATACAAACTCCTTCACGGTCATGATTTCTTTTCTGTTTTCTTCATGAATTATTAATGAGTTTCTCAATGCATTGCATTGTATTGTATTTCATTTCATTCTATAATTATTGATTTATGTAATACAGACCAACCTGCAAATGCATTAGCCTATCAACTGAAATAAACGACACAACAAGTGCCAATCCCACGAACCAGCAAAACAAAGTTGATCTTGTCCTTCCAGCAATGTAGTAAAGCACGTTATGTGCCACAAATACCAGCGTTGGTTTCCAGCCAATACTTATAGATAGAAATCCCAATTGAAACATGGCAAAAAATAACATTCGGTGCTAAAAGGAAGAATGAAGAATGATGACAATCTTTCTTAATTAGAGATAATTTTCATCAAAGAAATTTTAATTGGCACAACTTAGTTTATAATAATCTTATATGTATAGTTTCTTTAAACATTTGTTGGGTAGCTACCTGTGGATATAACCAAGACACCAAACGGTTGCCAAATGAATGAAGTGATGATGCTATTATGAGATTTATGGCTTGACCAATCCAAAATTGCCATTCAAAATCTGACTTATCCTGCCAAATATTGCAATCAATACTGTATAAATAAGGATAAAATTAACCATTCAAGCACAACTGTAAACATGTGGCATAGTTATATTTTATAATCATCATCACCATAACTGATCATCAATCATCATCTCTGACATCATCCCCAATAATTTCTTAAGCCTTTTAAATATTTATTTAACTGATTAACCCATAATGATCGAGTGGCATCACTCTGACCCTTGATGAGTAAAATCATCTGGAGTTAGACAGAGTAATACAGTAAAGTAGGGCACATTACTACAGGGTTAACAGGATGCTTCATAAGCCTTCATTAGGCAAATATAGTCTGCTAATTAACCCATTCAGTGGCAGCACTCCCCCCTCAATAAGTAAAATCGTCTGGCATTTTAAGACATGCAGAGTAAAAACAGTAAAGTATGGTGCATCAGGGCACATTGCCACTTAAAGGGTTAACAAATAAGTAGCTACAGCATTTTGTTTCCAACTTAATGAAAGCCTGATAGCTTACTATGACACAGTTTATGGCATATATGAAATTTGCAGCAACAGCTGGGTAGCAATATGTTACTTGGTAACATAACAATTAGACTGGGGCAAAGGGACCCTTGGAGAAACTTAGGATGATCATCTACACATATGCAGAGGTTTTCACTGAAGAAAATTTAAGAATGTGACACCAACCCTCTTTCTTCCTAAAAATGTCCATCCATCATCAAAATCCTCTGAGTACAACTCCTCAGGCTTTTCTGTAGGAATTATTACAATTAAATGTTGTAGGGTGTTAAGGCGTAAAAAAAAATACCTGTGGTTCCGGTTCCCCACCGACCCTATTTTTTTTCTGCCGACCCCATTATTCTTTCAACGTGATTGACCATGCGACCCTATTTTCTCCGGGTGGTTGCGGGCTGCTCATACATAGCGTGCCAAAATGGCGTCTGTTGTCACACTAATTATTGAACCAAATTGCCTAAATTCGTCCATAGGAAATATGCATCTCTAATTTAATATTGATGTCAGGACTCTACTGCAAATCGCCCAGCAAAACCCGCCAAAACCATGAAAAAAATATTCAAAAAAAAATTATTTCCAACCTACCGACCCTATTTTTTTCACGATATGAAACTGGAACCACAGGTATTTTTTTTACGCCTAAAGGTGTATGGTGGAAGGGCAGGGGCCTATCACACCAATAAATGGACTGACTTAAATTGGCTCCTTTCAGTTGGCACTAACGTTTCATGAATTATTTATCTGACACAATTTTATGTGTGCATACCTTGTGCATACATACAACTTTCACAACCTTGCCTGCAACTTACCCTGACCTAAATTTAACCCAACCTAATACTCAGGGTCTTCACCTGTGCTACCCCTACACCCCCAGGGTTTCAGGGGGTAGCGGAGGTAATTAAGACCTTGAGTATCAGGTTGAATTTAACCAGCCTTCATCCTAACCTGTGTCAGACATGTAACGTTTACATATTGGGATCCAGTGTCCAACCTGTATGGGTTTGGCTATCTCACTTGTTGCAGGTGATGTCAATAACCTTGGCATCTGGTGTCATAATCCCTTAATAACACCTTAACCCCATAACAAATGCCAGTGAGCTAGTCAAACCAGACTCATCCCCACTACCTATGTAACTACATAATTACAGTAAACAAAAAACAAAGTACCAATTATACAAACTTACCTAGCGGAAATAAGTAAATTTTGTACGCAGCTGTCGCCAAGAAATATGAATAGATGGAGAAATAAACAATTTTTTCAATAAAAGGCAACTCTCCTTCGGCACCGATTTTTGCTCTTACAACTTCTTGATTTTTGACCTTAGTATTATTGTCAACGGCGTTGTCCTTTTCAACAGTTTGAGAACTGAGCTTGTCCTTTTCAACAGTTTGAGAACTGAGCTTCTCTTTTTCTTTAATCCCCATAATTACAAAATCCTTTACATATGAAGTCCGTTTTAATACACAAATTATAAATATAACGCCATATAAATATAAATGCAACTGCAGCAACTATATATTTTCACTGTGTATGTGTACAAAAATTACTGGCTAATGCAAACGAGATTAAATTTTATATGCTAAATTATAAATTCAAGAGTTGCTTGTCTTTTTGACCTTGTTCAAATACATGGTTTTCAAGTTTCGCAAAGGTCAGCCCACGTCAGGTTACACGCACACGTATAAACTTAAAATATATCAAAATCCAAAACATATACTTTCAATGTACCAGTATAATATTTTCATTTCAAATTGATAGTTTGAATTGATACTCCGACACAGAATCTGCAGTGTCTCTATTTGTAAACAACGCTTCTGATTGGCTACTTGATCGCGTTCTACAATTCTGATTGGCCAGAACCACAGAACAATTGTCTATAACAAGGGGAAATTTTAAAATTTAAATTTTAATGCCATAAAATAAGAATTTCACATTGCAAATGGTAAAGCAATTTGAGGAACGTTTGGAAAAACTAAGGCATCTAAATTTTTGGCTGCTAAGGATTGAAAGAATGCAGTGTTTGAGTGTTTGGCGATTTATTTCCTTGTTGTTGGGTTCTTTCTCGTAGGGGTTATTTCTCGTAGTGTGCTTCAGTAAAACAACATGGCCTTTCCAACAGCTTTTAGCAAAATTTTAAGCTCATTTGCAAGAAGTGCGTTGGTTCCTAGAACTTTAACACGCTTTAATATGCACTCAGAATCTGGGAAACGTTTGGTAAATGGTGTTAAATTATATTATGAAAAAGTTGGGCAAGGCTCGAAAGTCTTGTTCTGTCTTCCAGGGGCTATGGGTTCCACAAGGACTGATTTTGGGCCCCAACTTGACCAGCTGAAAGATAATTTTACTGTAATTTCATTTGATCCAAGAGGTTATGGCAAGTCTATACCACCAAAGAGAGATTTTCCTTTGGATTTTTACCACAGAGATGCAGATGATGCTGTTGGACTTATGGAACAACTTGGTAGTTTATGCATGGCCCTAATTCTTCCTGTTCAATTTCTCCCCCCTCCCCACAACCCCCTGGGGAAGTGTACACTGACATTTCCTTGATGTAGGGAATTTCGTTGAGCATCTATTTGTGAGGGTGTCCTGTGGGTGTAGGGGTGGGGAATATAAATTTTCACATGCAAGGGGCTATATGAGTCTAGCCTGCAAACCTGCCATGGGTTGTTTCTCGATTATTACATGTTACAAACTGACGTTGTGTACAATAATAGTTTGTGAATGTTGTTACAAGGTGGAAAATTGGCTTTCTATATTTGCCCGGGAGTGGGGAATTGACAGTTTAGAAATAGAAAATCTACAAATCCCTGGAGGTTGCCTAGGGGATGGCAACAGGAAGAATTCAACCATTAATTAGTACTATATTTATATATACACTGGATAGCTTACGTTATGTGCATATTAAGTGAAGGTTTCTAATCATGATGTAATTTGATAATATAGGTTACAGTAAGTACTCTGTACTTGGCTGGAGTGATGGTGGTATATTTGGCCTAATCTTGGCTGGCAAATATCCCAATGTTGTTGACCGTCTTGTGGTGTGGGGTTGTAATGCCTCGGTGACACAGAAAGACCTTGATTTGTACGAGGCAATCAGAGATGTTTCAAAATGGAATCCAAAGATGAGAAAACCACTTGAAGGTCTGTATAACCTTCTCTGCAGGCATTCAATCAATTGCTGTGCTGGGTTGGGCCTGCAGCCAAATTTTGCCTGCTGCCACAGGTTCATACAGGGAAGCGAAGAGTCGTGTGTCTGTGGGAAGTTATAGGTGGCTGAACAGATTTGCAATTTCTTGTATGTGTATCTTCATAAAGGCGGGTGCATGCATGATAGTACATTACAGTAAGTATCCTGATGGTTCATGAAAGATAAGCTTTTAAAATATTTTTCTCAAATTCACAAAGCAAACATACCCCTCCCCTACTCAGCTCAGACTAGGCATAGTAAGCCTGGCAAACTTCAAAGCTACAAAATAAAGACCTTTGTAATTTGATGTTGAACTGTACATCACCATGCACAAGTCCTTTGTCTCAACTTCATTATAAGAACAATTGAGAACTGATAGAGATTGTAGTATAAAAGTAAACTTAGTTTTTTTTTATTATATCTTTTACACAGACATTTATGGTGATGAAGTACAAGAGTTATGGGGTGGTTGGATTGATGGTCTTGTTAGCATTTTCAAAGAATGTGATGGAAATCTTTGTCAGGAACTTTTACCAAATATAACTTGCCCTACATTGATAATTCACGGAGAGAAGGACCCGCTTGTGCCAACATTTCATCCTCAGTACATCCACAAGAATCTGAAAGATTCCATATTACATCTCATGCCTGAGGGTCGACACAATTTGCATCTTAGATATGCTGAGGAATTTAACAAGTATGTCACAGACTTCTGTAAGGAATGATTATATTACAATCTGTTGTTTAGGCATAAAACAAATAAAAGCATAATAATCCCTTTGTAAGTTTTCACTATAGTTTGAATAGATGTTTACAGCGTTAAGGTTTTAATATAAAGCTTTTTGAAACCTGGTTATATATATATACAGGGTTAGGTTTAGGGTAGGGTTGTGCATATATTGAGAAAGCTCCATTTTTGGACTGCGTACTTATTGGTAGGTTTTCGTTTTATTGGTTGTGGACTTGTGGTGCATATCATTTTAATTGGAATGTGCATGCAGGGTTCTGGTGGACGTGTACCTCCAAGCGTGCCTATTTTTACGTGCGCATACATGGGCGAAATTTACTCGTCCAATACTCAATAGTGTGTTCTGAAAAAGAATGGCTTTGAACGATCTAAAGAAGAGCTATTACCATAGAAGATAGAAGGCCCTATAGATAGTTGTAATAGGCACAGTTATTGCAGTTATTCAGCAACTGATTTTGTAGCCATAGATGTTTATTTTAACTTTGCTAAACTATTTTAACTCAATCTTGCGTTGTTTATAATGCAGACTTGCTGTGGCGTACATGCATTCAAAACGCAAGATTGAGCCTCGCATGGTAAAAAAAAACAATGAATTTTTAAAAACCCGAAAACACAATGAATTTTTATTGAATTTTAAACCGTTTTAGTCTTTTTTGTGCGCATTACAACTATCTATTGGGCATCGCATGGTATTACTATTATCTGTAAAACAGTCAACTAGTAAATCTCAGGGCCTTTTTTAAGGATTTTCCCGTGGGGGGACATTTTTTGAAAAGGGACCTTTCTGTGAGATAATATATTACAGGGAGATAGCAATGGCTGAAGGCCACGTGTGCGCCGAACATACCATGCACGCATGAATGAGGGGGGTGTACTCCCCCAGAAAATTTTTGAAATTGGAAGCACATAAATGCCACTTCCTGCATTCTGAGCATCCAAATGCGCTCCAAAATGAAATAAAAGAAGGAAAAACCCCACAAAAAGTTAAAAAAAATATTAACCATAATTTATCATTACTTATTAGAGGAGGATCCCAATGGTCACGTGTGTGGGGGTGTACTCCCCCAGAAAATTTTTGAAATTTGAAACACGGAAATGCCATTTCCTGCATTCTGAGCATCCAAATTTGCTCTAAAATTTATGCTAACTATACTTGTATTTGAAATAAAAGAAGGAAAAGATGCGCAAAAAGTAAAAAAGAATATTAACCGTAATTTATCATTATACTTATTAGAGGGGGATACCAATGGCCGAAGGCCACGTGTGTGGGGGCATAATCTCCAGAAAATTTTCAAATTTGAAACCTGGAAATGCTCTTTCCTGCATTCTGAGCAACCAAAAAATAAAAAATTATTAACAATAATTTATCATTACTTAGTGGTAGAAAAACGTAACAATTTAGATCGATTTTGTTAAACAAGGACAAAGGATAAAGCCTAAAACTTACTTTCCGTTTATTTATTTGTTATTCTTCGCTGTTTTGTTGGTATACATTTAGGAAAAAGGGACTTTTCCTGGGGGGGGCAAAATGTGATTTCGTGGGGGGGCACAAGGGGGGACTGGGGGGGCAAATGCCCCCCCCCCAGCTTGTATGTTAAAAAGGCCCTGGTAAATCTACCAATAGTGAGCTTAAGCAAGTGACGTTTTTGACAACACGAACGGCATGAGTAACGTCAGAAGACTGGGTCAAGGGCTGTGATTGGTGAAAAACGTCAACTTTACTTCCGGTCGACGTCCGTGTTGTCAAAAACGTCACTTGCTTAAGCTCACTAATATTTAGCAAAATTAGCAAATTGAAGCAAATAGCTATATTTTCACAATGCAATGGCGACAGCAAAATATGACGTGACCATGGCGTTCATTACCAAAATGGCGGAGTGTTTACAAATCAGTTTACAAATTTGCCGCTTGCCGACGGGAAATGGAAGATAAAAGTCAAGTAAAGTCACTTTCTTCAGACCCGTTTGGTAAGTTTTAAATTTCCTAGTGTTTTGTTCTTTTTCTTTTTAAATTTAAAAGAAGCACCGTCAAGTAAGTTTTCCTTCACAACGAAACAAGTATTAAAGTGAAGTGACATTGAAGTGACAAGTTTTCATGTTTTGAGTCTACTTGCTCTTTTTTGCATTTTTACAACTCCTTATAAATTAATTTTGAGACCTTTTTCCGTTTTTGTCAGCAAGCATTCCAATAACGATTTAAATTCTCTTTTTTCACACGGCGTATACATACTGACAGCCTTTTCATATTGTATACATATTGCAAGCCTTCACTGTATAAAAATAAAAAAAAATACACGACTAGCGATTTTGAACAAGGAGAAAAAGGTACGTTGTTTATGATTGTTGTCCTTGACATTAAAGGGCTAAGGGGAATCTCCCAAGAAAAACGTTCGCAACTGATTAAAAGTTCAAAACTGGTCAAGAAAACTTGTGGTCAAAGCTCGGGTCAAAGACAAAGGCAAAGCAAAAAGCTGCTGGACTGATTATTCAATATTTTACGAGCATTTTACATGTAAATGTCCATTCATATCCTCTTCGGGGCGAAGGAAACATTGTTTCCCGCAATTTCTGAATACATTTTTGCTTCACGAAAAGCCTGTTTTGCTTTCATAGAAATTTTATTTTTACGTGTGAAAAATATTCGCGTTGGAACATGGTTGTTCCCCAAGAGATTTAAAAAATGTAGTTGGAACTTGGAGTATGTTTTACCTCGAGGAAAATGTGTAAAAAAAATTTCGAACGTACAAAGTTTTTGAAGAAAAGTCTAATATACAGTAGGAAATCTGCTAAACGTTATGATCATAAGATTTATTACAGGTTTAAAGGAGAGTAGGTGTAGGAGAAACAGTATCAATATCCGCTTGTTGCTGGTGTTGCTGAGTTTAAATGGAAATAAAAAACGAGTGAAGAAATATTATTCACAGCATTATCTCACAATCAGGGGCGTAGTCACGGGGGAGGAATGGGGAGTCCGCCCCAGCCCACTTTTCTTCAGAACCAATTTTGTAATTCTTCCAACACTGAGGAAAATCTGGGGGGGGGGGGTAACCTCGTAATGCTTTCATCGATGACATGAAATATACCAAATCTGTGGCTTTCAGATTATCAAAAACGTGTCTAAAATGCATGAAATAGCGTTTTGCGTACCCTAAAAATAGAACTTTTTTCCAGAGGACCCCCTACTTGGACCCTCCCCCCTCCTACTCGTTTTGGGCTGGCTATGCCTCTGGCCTCAATCACTGACCAAGATTTGTGTAAGTAGTTCTATTCTAACTATTCTAGGGTCTGAACTTGAGGAGAACGACCCCAAAGAAGAGGTCGAAGTTGCACGTGATACCATTGCCGTTCAACAATTGTTGACTCATGTTCCAGATATTGTTATCAAGTGTGACCATAAGAAACAAGTTCCGTACGTGGAGCAATTTAGAGGCGTATGCCTTTTTGCCGATATATCAGGTAAAGTACACTATTTTGGCTAAGGGGTGTAGCCACGGGCTGGAAGTTTGACCAATTCTCTGCAATTCTTTCAAAACTGACGAAAACACTACGGGGGGGG